TGATGTCTTTTTGCAGTTTTTAACAAAATCCAATTGATAATTATGTCCTTAATAGATCATGCCTTAGGTGTGATAGCTAAAAAGTCATTGCCACTCAAGGTCATCTAGATAGTCTCTAATGTTAATTTCTTGAAATTTTATAATTTTGCACTTTACATCTAGGTTTATGACCCACTTTGACTTAATTTTTGTGAATGGTATAAGGTCTGTATCTAGATTCATTTCTTTGCATGTGAATAACCAATTGCTTCAGCATCATTTGTTGAAAAGACAATCTTTGGTCCATTGTGCTGCCTTTGTTGCTTTGTCAAAGATCAATTAAATATATTTATTTGGGTCTATTTCTGGGCTCTCTATTCGATCCCATTGGTCTATGTGTCTATTTTTGGCCAGTACCACACTGTCTTTATAATAAATCTTAAAGTCAGATAATATCAGTCTTCCAATTTGGTTCTTCTTCTTCAATATTGTGTTGGCTCTTCTGGGGCCTTTGCCTTTCCATATAAACTTTAGAATTACTTTGTTGACATCCACAAAATAACTTGCTGAGATTCTGATGAGGAATGCATTGAATCTGTGCTTTTATAAAATATATATAGCACAGTTCAATGAAAAACATCTTTTTAAAGTACATGGACTATGTCCCTACCTCCATAGGAAGAGAATTTCACGTCCTTAAAGACAATTTACCACTGTCACTTTAGCCATAGTCCTAAAAAAAATGTTGTTACATAGTAATCAACAGTTTTAAAAAGGCAAACTAGAAAAAGAATCAGAAGCATATGCCTTCTTAGCTCTCACAGTTGTAATCACTGCCAGTACTCAAAGGGAAAGGACTCTTCTGAGTGGCAGGTTGGAAAAGCTCCCTGGAGCCAAGTTAAAGAGCTCTGATCCAAAGAAAAAGAAGGGTTCATTTCTCTACTACATAGATTAAAAAGGGAATGGTATTTCTGTTTCCCTCCTCTATTCTGATGCAAATCTTTTCAGTTAGAAGTCTTATATTAGTCTCGAATAGCTCTCAGTGTGGGTCCAGATTAATTTTAAAAGCTGCGGTACTGCTTGAGGGCAGAAACTACTTACTTTACCTCTTTTGTATCCCTCATAGATTTAGCAAAATGAAAAGGCAAATTTACAAGATAATCTACATATTTCATAAGATAAATATGATATAAATCAAGCACGTTGTGCATGTGTGCTTTTTGGAGGGGAAGCAAAAAAGGGGCAGAGGTAAAAGGATCCTGTAAGTGCTTATTCCCATAATCATTAAGCAACTAAATAAGAATATGTTTGGTAGAGTCACTAGACTGAAAAGCATTTGGCTAAGAGGTTAACTAAGCAATCCATGCTAATGTCTGCAATCAAGACTGCACTTTAATCTTCTCTGTGAAAGAGGCAACAGACTGACTATTCACTATGAATGAAAATTCCCCCATCTCCCTCTGCAATTCACTTTAACACTGATTTAACAATTCTTGATGTTTAATTGCTTCCTCATATCATAGGTTATAACAAATTCCTCTTGAAATAGACCAAAGGTAGAACTAAAGAATACTTTCCCTTCATATACTGAGCTTGAAACAGTTCTTGTTCTCATAAAACAGAAAGGTTTCCTGAGTTCTATGTGAAAATAAAACAAACTACAAAAATAACTAGGATGCTCTCCTATTTATAAATCCTCAACTTGATTTCTGGATTTCCAAGAAAATCAAGGAATATTCTATGGCAATAGTGGTTTCAACCAAATATCTACAACTTAAGACAACACTGGGATGATGGACCAAAGCTAACATTTCTAAACATTTCCTCCCAATAGTAAGATTCTGAGAAGTGTTGTTCCAAGATCCCTCAGTCTAAGATATCATGTTGCAGTATCTTTGGTTCTTTGAGTCATAACTGATAAGGAAATTGCTTGAAGAATCCTAGATGCACCAGATGTCAAGGCAATTCATGTTTTAATCAGAGTACAGAGTAAGCCTATTAAATTTAATGTTAACAGTTATATATGCTTACAACTCTAGTCCTTAGTGAATCCCTTCTTGAAAGAACTATGAGTAACACGTGGACATAAAGACGGCGATCAATAAAGAAAAAGAAATATTGTATAAAATCTGATATAAAAGCAAATAATCAATTTGTCCTTGGATAAATAAGTGTTCAAAAACTTGTGGAGTGTTCTCCTATGTTATGGTACTTATCACACCATATTGTCAAGTATCTTTTTATAGTTTACTAGAGGCCCGATGCATGAATTCGTGCACCAGTGGGGTCCCTTGGCCTGGCCTGCAGGATCAAGCCAAAACCGGCTCTCCAACATCCCCCAAGGCATCCCATATTGTGAGAGGGCGCAGGCCAGACCAAGCGACCCTACCGGTGCACAATCAGGGCTGAAGAGGTTGGCCAGCCAGGGAGGGACCATGGGAGGGCTCCAGGGTTTGTCCGGTCCATCTCACTCAGTCCTGATCGGCCAGACCACAGCAGCAAGCTCACCTACTGGTTGGAGTGTCTGCCCCCTGGTGGTCAGTGCACGTCATAGAAAGCGGTTGAATGACCTTAGCATATCATTAGCATATTATGCTTTGATTGGTTGGACGGCCAACTGGTCGACCAGACATTGAGCATATTATGCTTTTATTATATACTAGAGGCCTAGTGCACAAAAATTCATGCACTGGGGGGCAGTTCCCTCAACCCGACCTGCCCCCTCTCACAGTCTGGGAGTCCTCAGGGGATGTCCTACTGATAGCTTAGGCCCGCTCCCAATGGGAAGCGGGCCTAAGCTGCAGTCTGGCCTCCCTCTGCGGGAGGCAACCAGGAGGATCAGGGGAAGGCATTGCCCCCATCACTCCGCTGCTGCTGCCAAAGCCGGCCACTGCCAGGCTGCCGACCCTCAGCCCCAACTTCTTAGCGCTGGCCCCGCCCCCTGTCCACTTGTGTGTGTGCAGGGGGCAATCTGGGGCCAGGCAGGCTGGGGGAGGGGCTGTGGGAGGTTGAGGCACCTTGGTCGCACCCACCCCGTCCAGCCTTTGCGGAGGCTCCAGGACCACGGGGCACCCAGCCTCTCCTAGTGCTCGCCTCTGCGGACGGAGGGGCCGTGTGGCAACGGGTGGGACCGGCCCGCCTCTCCCAGAGCCCACCTCTGCGGACAGAGGGGTTGCGCAGCGCACATGGGACTGGCCCGGGCCCTCGGTGCCGCTGCCTCTCCTGTGCCACTGGCCCTTGGCCCTCACAGCTGCTGCAGCTATGTCCAGAAGGACATCTGGAAGATGTCTGGTCTAATTAGCATATTACCCTTTTATTAGTATAGAGGCTTCTCCTATGAGCTTCTTGAAGGGCAGGGATACATTTTTACATTCTCATTACCTAATAGTGTGCTCAGAGCATAGATGATGTACAACAGTGGAACTGTGCTAAGTATCCCCTTTAATCCTCATAACAATTGGATGAGATCGATAATATAGGGTCTCTTGCCGAAACGGTTTGGCTCAGTGAATAGAGCGTCAGCCTGCAGACTCAAGGGTCCCAGGTTCGATTCCAGTCAAGGGCATGTACCTTGGTTGCGGGCACATCCCCAGTGGGGGGCGTGCAGGAGGCAGCTGATCGATGTTTCTCTCTCATCGATGTTTCTAACTCTCTATCCCTCTCCCTTCTTCTCTGTAAAAAATCAATAAAATATATTAAAAAAATATATATAGGGTCTCCCAAAAAATGTATACACATACTTTAAATAGTTACAAAGGCAGTGTTTATTAAAAAAAAATTCATTTTCAAAATTGAGCTATCAGCTGTTAAAGTATATATACATTTTTCGGACACCTTGTATATTGCTATTCTAATTTTATAGATAATAAAACTAGGAATCATTAAAATTAAAAAATGTGCCCAAGTCATATAGCTGTCTAACTCCAGAGTAAATGCCCTTAATCACTGTACTTATCCTATCTAGATAAGTGAATGTCCGTTTTATCCAGCTTCTGTCTCCGTTTTAATAACTAATTCTATAAAAGTGCTCACTCAGGTATTATCTGCATTTGTGCTTTCTGAATCAGGATGAAGACATGAGCTCCAGAATCACCAAAGGAGGATAGGATTTGGGGGCCATGCAGATAATCTGAGGAACCAAACATCATTTCTGAACTTTCAAAGTCTGGTTACTGTTAATTAGGTATTTCTAAATACAAGTAGACTGAATTTTCAACGTGTAAGTGATTATACCATAACTTTAGCAGATAAATTGGGTAATTTATAATATAGCGAGAGTAGAAAGATAGGAGTTCTTTTTAATAGAAAACTTAGAAAGGGCTGTGAGGTTAAACTAGCAAGCACATTTTACAGATAAGGGATCAGTAAGTGGTTTATATTAGTTTAGTAAAATACTTAGTGCAAGGAGATTTATATTTCAAGACTATTCCAGCGTCTCATCTATATGACCCCAAATCAATACAATCTAAAACAGTTTATAAAACAAATTTATGAAAGTATTTAATCTTCCATTCTGTTTAAAACAACCATTAATTTATCTTTCAGTATATCCCATGGTACTATACAAACAGAAATCTTTTCATTCACATAAAAGCAGGACTTTAATAATATGTAATGTATTTCTTTTTCTTCACATCAGAGCCAATTAAGGATGTAAAGCAAATCTTACACTTAGCTAATTCATCTTACATTTTTAATTCCTAAACACATACATATACACATTACATTAAAAAGTTATTTATTGGACTGTGAGACATTAATGGAAATCCAGTGAGACCAATTTAGCACTACTAGAAGTCTTCAAAACATAAACAAATCAATATACTTTTCTCCATATTAATAAGATGTTTAAAATGCCAAAAGGGAACTGACATTAATCTGCTCACTGCTGACAATAATTAACTCTAATTTTCAAGTGTTAGGAATATAATTGAATCATGTATATAATAAAAATTGTCTTTAATTTCTAAAAGTTTGCTTACAGTGATTGAAATAAAAACTTTGGTCAGATTTTTACATACCTTAAAGGTAGAAAGTCCATAAAGTCGTGTGGTATGAACAGTTTCCTGAGAAATATTTGTAATGTTAGTTATAAAGTCCTCAAGGTATTTGCAAGCTTGTTCCAGGTGTGTTGTGTTTATGATGATTTGCACTAGCTAAAAAATACAAAATACATCCGGTAAAATGATGTTACATGTACACAAAGCCATTTGATTTTTTAAACCAGGATTATTACTTCCAGTAACTGTATCATTTATGCATAATTATAGCATTACAGGATACAACTGATTATGTGATTTCAAGTCTACTACAAATACTGCTTATGAATGCTATCATTAAAAAAAAAGAGAGTCTAACTGCGAATTAATCCAAAATAATGTTTCAAAGTACTTTTTCAAATTTTATACATTTACCACATAAAAAGTTTTTTCCATTTTTCAGGTAAGGCCTGGCAATCTGCATATACACGCCAACATCTTCACCTACAGTAGTCACCCCTTATTTGCAGGGCGTATGTTCCAATACCCCAGTGGATTCCTGAAACCATAAATAGTACTGAACCCTATACGTACTATGTTTTTTTCCTATACATGCATACCTGTGATAAAGTTTAATTTATAAATTAGGCACAATAAGACATTAACATCAGTAATAATAAAATAGAACAATTATGCCCTAGCCGATTTGGCTCAGTGGAAAGAGCATCAGCCTGCGGAGTGAAGGGTCCTGGGTTCGAATGCAGTCAAGGGCACGTACCTCCTTGCAGGCTCGATCCCCGGTCCTGGTTGGGGCATGTGCAGAAGCAACCAATCGATGTGTCTCTCTCACATCGATGTTTCTCTCTCTGTGTCTCTCTCTCCCTTCCACTCTCTCTAAAAATCAATAGAAAAATATCCTCAGGTGAGGATTAACAAAATAAAAATAAAAATAGAAAAATTATAACAATATACTGTAATAAAAGTTATGTGAATGTGGTCACTCATTTCAGGGGATCCCTTGCTGAAGTCTTCTTACAGGTTCAATATTTTCTGGCACAAACATTGCTGTCAATTGGAATGTGTTTTCTGTTCATGCTTTCCATCCACAAATTTAATGCCCTGTCCATCTTAAATTACTAGTATCAAGCATTGTGGCCTCAACTTTTGCAGTTTAAGGTGCAACAGCAAAACTAGCACAGATTTCTTTCTCCTTCTTCACAATTTCACAGACAGAAGATTGGTTCTTACCTCAGAGCTTAGCAACCTCAGCACACGATTGTTTTTCTTTCCTCATTAATTCAAGCACTCTCTCCTTTTCATTTAAAGGAAGCACTTTATGGCTTTTCTTTGGCATATCTGAATTGCCAGCATCTCCACTCAAAACAGTGTGCTATTTAAGACTTAGGAATTGATTATGGAATTATTTTGGGAATTACCCATTTAATATTTTTGAACTGCAGTTGATCATAGGTAACTGAAACTGTGAATATGGGGAGACTATTGTATCTATTCCCTGTGTAAAAATCCTTTTTCTTCACATTGCTTAAATTTACATTGGCGTTTTTATTTTAAAACAAATCCACTTCATTAATAAATTTAAAATAGAAAGCTAGTTTTACAGGATGTTCCATGTAGTGAAACATTTGGATACAAACCTACCTCTGTCAAACCTATATGAGGTTTCCTAATAAGGTTCAGTAAACAGCTATTCAAAGTTCTGGTCAGCAGCAGATTTGTAGATTTTCTAAGCATATCATCTATTTCTGTTGAGCTAAAAACAAAATTTCATATTATTAAGCTTTATGACAGGGTACATACAGTCACAGCACTATTGACAGTTTAGGCCAGTAATTATTTGTTGTACGCTGTGCTGTGCATTGCAGGATATTTAGCAGCATCCCTGGCCTTTACTCACTAGATGTAAACAGCATCCTTCCCCCTAGTTGTGACAACCCAAAATGCCTCTACACATTGCTAGATGCCTCCTAGAGAGCAAAGTTACCCCATTTGAGAACCACTGCCTTAAACATAGGCTAACATTTTAGCACTACTTTACTTTTTATTTTAGTAAAATATTACTCTTACAAATCTATAAAGCACAAATATTTACACTAGTTTATTTTTAAAATACAAATAGAGCAAGATTTGATAAAGCATAGGTACTTCTCACTACTCTATAATGTTCTCCATTCTAATGCAAGCACTCTTTTCAATTTTGGCCAACCCAAATTCTGGCAGATCTGAGTATTTTCCTCTAATTCTTTATATCTAAAATCAAAGTGAATGTGCCACCAGAAAAGCTTCAGGGTGATTTGACATCAGACTCTCAGAAAACTCTAATATGTCAGTATTGCCCCTAAACAAGCAATGTACTCACCCTGATAAAAAAATAAAAATAAAAATAAAGAGGGGAGAGAACCAAGATGGCGGCATAGGTTAACACTGGAGTTTGCTGCTTTGAACAACTACTTCAAAAGTGAAACCAAAAAACGGAAGGGACATCACCCAGAACCACAGGAACGCTGCCTGAGTGGAAGTCCTACAACTAGGAGGAAAGAGAAACGCATACGGACACTCAGAGGAGGCGCAGTGCTGAAGTCAAATTCTGAGGTGCGGAGTGCGCGAGCGGGCTGGCGGCGGAGGGCGCGGTTGGCGTTTTCAATCGGGAGGGAGTCGCAGACTCTGAGCTCCAGATCCGGGCGAGTCTTTAGGGACCCAGACTCAAACGGGAGAAGCGGGACTGTCTGGCTTCGGTCAGAGCGAGTGCAGCTTTCTCTCTGAGCTTTGCAGCGGGTGCTGGGACTCAGAGAGGCAGAGCCCCTGGGGACAGGACTGAGAGCCGCCATAACTGCTCTCTCCGGCCCACCCTGTTGATCCTGTGCGACCCGCCCCGCCCAAGCCCTGCACACAGGCATTTGCCGGATAGCCTCAGGCAAAGGCTAGATTAGCACCTCCCTAGAGGACAGAAGTTCTCTCACTGCTGACACAGCTGATTCTCATAGCCACTTGGCCTGGAGGTCAAACCCTCCCTGGAATTAGCTACAACAATCAAGATTTAACTATAAGACTGTGAACAAAGACCACTAGGGGGTGCACCAAGGAAGCATAACAAAATGCGGAGACAAAGAAACAGGACAAAATTGTCAATGGAAGATATAGAGTTCAGAACCACACTTTTAAGGTCTCTCAAGAACTGTTTAGAAGCCGTCGATAAACTAAATGAGATCTACAAGAAAACTAATAAGACCCTCGATCTTATATTGGGGAACCAACTAGAAATTAAGCATACACGGACTGAAATAACGAATATTATACAGACTCCCGACAGCAGACCAGAGGAGCGCAAGAATCAAGTCAATGATTTGAAATGCGAGGAAGCAAAAAACACCCAACCGGAAAAGCAAAATGAAAAAAGAATCCAAAAATGCGAGGATAGTGTAAGGAGCCTCTGGGACAGCTTCAAGCGTACCAACATCAGAATTATAGGGGTGCCAGAAGATGAGAGAGAGCAAGATATTGAAAACCTATTTGAAGAAATAATGACAGAAAACTTCCCCCACCTGGTGAAAGAAATGGACTTACAGATCCAAGAAGCGCGGAGAACCCCAAACAAAAGGAATCCAAAGAGGACCACACCAAGACACATCATAATTAAAATGCCAAGAGCAAAAGATAAAGAGAGAATCTTAAAAACAGCAAGAGAAAGAAACTCAGTTACCTACAAGGGAATACCCATACGACTGTCAGCTGATTTCTCAACAGAAACTTTGCAGGCCAGAAGGGAGTGGCAAGAAATATTCAAAGTGATGAATACCAAGAACCTACAACCAAGATTACTTTATCCAGCAAAGCTATCATTCAGAATTGAAGGTCAGATAAAGAGCTTCACAGATAAGGAAAAGCTAAAGGAGTTCATCACCACCAAACCAGGATTATATGAAATGCTGAAAGGTATCCTTTAAGAAGGGGAAGAGGAAGAAAAAGGTAAAGATACAAATTATGAACAACAAATATGCATCTATCAACAAGTGAATCTAAGAATCAAGTGAATAAATAATCTGATGAACAGAATGAACTGTTGATTATAATAGAATCAGGGACATAGAAAGGGAATGGACTGACTATTCCTGGGGGGGAAAGGGGTGTGGGAGATGCGGGAAGAGACTGGACAAAAATCGTGCACCTATGGATGAGGACAGTGGGTGGGGAGTGAGGGCGGAGGGTGGGGCGGGAACTGGGAGGAGGGGAGTTATGGGGGGAAAAAAAGAGGAACAAATGTAATAATCTGAACAATAAAGATTTAATTAAAAATAAATAAATAAATAAATAAAGAGGTAGTTGCCAATTCCTCACTCAAATTATACTTAGAGAAATCCTGTATAACATTCTTCTCAGATAAAATATTTGAAAATGAAAAGGAGAAATAGTTACTCTATCATGATAGATAATGTCTTCTTTTAATTTCCCTGAACTTCCTTGAATGCTAAGTTAGTGCATGCTTTTTCTTCCATAAGTAAAAGCAGAGAAAGAAAATCTATCAGTATCTATTGTCCTATCTGTGCCAGCAAGATTTACCTGACAATAACCAGTATTTCCCCCACACAGTTTTTATCCTAATTGACAATTTTTTCCCTTAACCCCTTATTCTTTGAGCCTATAAACTGTACTCCTCCTAATTTTTAAAGAATATTCACAATAATGAAATCTTAATATGTAGTAAAACTCCTAAAATATTTTACAGATTAACCTCTGATGAAAAGGGAAAATTTCTTAAAGATCATATTAGTTTCAGATGTTTCCTCTACAACTAAATAATTGGGACTTTGTATGTCTATTCATAAAGTCACTTCATTCTCTGGCCTGCTTTTATTCATATATAGTACATATGGTATATAGTATATTTGTACTATAAAAGCTCTGAAGTATCTTCTAGTTCTAAAAATCTAACTCCAAAATATGTTTAAACATAGTAAGAAAGCTTTAAACACAGAAAGTAATTTTTCTAAAACCCTTTAATGACAAAAAAACAAACACAAAGCATCTCTAAGCTTTGTTAAATGAATAGCACCGTTACAGAGTTAACTAGACAACTGAATAGTGAATTAACAAAAGTGATTAATATTTTCATCAAAGATAGAAGGAAAAAAATGACAATCTTTTCTGTTATAGCATTAGCACACAACATTCACCATTTAGAATGTTAGGAGTTGATAACAGATAAATGCATGAATTACTGTTTTCAAAGATGACTAACTATAACCAGAATCTATTTGAGAGTATATAAACAAATTCAAGCCTACCCGTGTGTAAGTCTAGTTGTTCCCTATCCCTTAATTTCCTCATCTAAGTCTTCCCAAATACTCTAATTTCAAGGTCTTGAAACTTCTTGAATATGTTCCTTCCTCTTCATCATCACTGATCCTGATTATTTCAGGACCCTTTTCTTGACCCACTGCCTTCACTTTTTCAATGTGACTGACTATTGTTTTAATCCCCTCCAATCTATCATCCACATTGAGGCCAGAGTAAATTTTCTACAATAGAACGCTAATCATGTCATTCCTTAGTTAAAAAGTCTTCAATAGTTCCCCCAGGCTTATAAAACAAAACACTCCAAGCACCAGTTTTACATCTAATATTGTAGAATCCCATCCTCTCCTAAATCCAATGTTTCTAGCATGTACCAGGCACCATACTGAGCTCTTTATACACATATATTACCTTATTTAATTGTTACAACCACCCTCTGAATTATTTCCCTCATTTTACAGATGAGGAAACTGCAAGTTAAACAGATTAAGTCACTTGCCCAAGGCCCTACTACAGCTAGTGAGTATCAGCCTCAAGACTCAAACTAAGAGAGATCAACCAAAGGACTTGTATGCATGCATATAAGCATAACCAATGGACACAGACAGTAGCAGGGTGAGGGCATGTGCTGGGGGGGTGGGAGCAGCCAGGGAGAGGTCAATGGGGTAAAAAGGAGACATATGTGATACTTTAAACAATAAAGAATTTAAATTTAAAATAATAATAATAATAAAGACTTACACTAAGGTCTAACTCTGAAGATTATGTTCTTAACCACTGCATTATACTGTCTCTGTATCAGATCAGAACTTCAGAATGTTAAAGGAAAAACAAGATAGTCATAACCGACTGGTGGCTCTCACAGTTCAAACTCCACTATTGAAAACTACCACTGTAATAGCTTGTTATTCTTTTTCAGTTAAGACTCATTTGTGTCCACTGTTTTCAAATGCCAGATTCTACTGTGTGATTCTGCATGTTGTGCTGTATAGAGAATACGTTACCTCTAGTGAGTTTTATGACTGAACATAAAAACTAATGTCTTTAAAATACATCTTTAGAGACTTTGGAATAAGCGGCTAGGTATGTGATGAAGCTTAAGGCAGTGGTTCTTCAATCTTCAAGTGCATCAGAATCACCCAGAGAACTTGGCACAACCCAGGGCCCCACCCTTAGGGTCTCTAATTCAGTATGTGTGAGGCTGCATTTCTAACAGTTTCCCATGTGACACTAATGCTACTGGTCTGGGGATCCCGCGTTGAGAATCACTGGCTTGTAAGAAACACACAGCACAACAGATGCTATGCATTAGGCATTTGTCTTCCTTTCTTCTTCTTTCCTCTCCAACTCATATTATTCAAGAACAAAAATTAAGGAATTCTATAAAGCCCTAGCCAGTTTTACTCAGTGGATAGAGCGTCGGCCTGCAGAATAAATGATCCCAGGTTTGATTCCAGTCAAGGGCACATGCCTGGGTTGCGGTCTCGATCCCCAATAGGGGGCATGCAGGAGGCAGCCGATCAATGATTCTCTCTCATCATTGATGTTTCTATCTCTCTCCCACTCCCTTCCTCTCTGAAATCAATAAAAATATATTTTAAATTAAGAAAAATCCTTTAAAGAATCCCTACTTACAGGAAAAAGCAGTGTAAGACCTAAAACCAGATACCCCTTTACCCTGGCAGAATACACATTTCTTTTTTCCATTTATTTAGACATTGTTTAAATCCAAAACAATAATAATTACAATAAGAGGCAGAGGTGCAACAAATTATAATTTAAAAACTGTCATTGTTCTCACTGTTTCAACTTGAAAAATAAGTAACTCATATCTGAACTGCTTTTATGGCTTTTTCTAACTTAAAATTCAAAAGCATTTAACACTGAAGGGTATTTCCTGCTATTCAGTATACAAATTCAAAAGAATGGATTTCAGAGAGGGAGACATTATGAAAGCCAGCATCACCACGCTCTCCTCCAGAGAGTATTCACTGAAATATATCATATGTTCGTTCCTTTTATGTCAGAAATTTTCACTGATATATCAGATTTATAACAACTTAATCCCATGTGTCACTAAAATATGGTAGCCTTTCCAATGAGATAATAATCCACTAAAGAGTCATGGCCTGGAAATCAAGTGTTAATGTTTCACATAAATAGCTATGATAAGGATACATTTCTTACTAGTTAGTAAACTTACCTCCGATGCAGTGACTCTGAAAATTTAAGGCTGGCATAAATAAATTCTTTAACTTGAATGTAAATATGAGGCACTGACTGAGACATGGGGAATTTCTTTGGGAAAGATTGCTGGAGAAAGAAAAATTAATGTTGTTTTCAAAATTTTAGAAAAAGACATTTTAATCACCTAAAAATATAAAAATTAAATTGACTGCACATTTGAATTAATAGTAAATACCTGCACCTTAAAGTCTACTGTTATATTTTTACATTATTTTTGATATTTTAAAGAAAACCAAAATATTTCTGAAGAAAATAATATAGCAATTTACCTGTTTCTCAAATCATATTATCAGACTTCTCTCAATCCCTCTCTGTTCTGATAAATATCCTGCAGAAGATGCCTAGCTGTCAGCTGTCTGCTTCTCTACATCCACAATAAAGTACAAAGAGTCAAGTTGGTCTTGAAGGTTATGGGCCAGCTTCCTGGCTCAGAGTCATCCAACAATTCTAGGACTCCCTTCACGCACCAATTCAAGAAGAAATCCATATCATTCCCTAACTCCTAGAATACCTTATAATAGCTTCCTAACTATTATACCATCAAACACTGGTATGCAGCCAATGGTTTACAAACTGCTTTATCAGCCAACATCCATTAGCAAATTCTTAGTTTCCAAAAGGTAAACCCTCTCCAAGATTTTTAACAAAAGCCACTTATCTATATTCAAGAAGTCTAATCTACACTTCTGTCTCTACATTCACTGCAATCTAGTTATATCAGTGAAAGTATCCTCACATGGTCACTAATGACCTTGTGAATGTTAAATCCAATGGACTTTTCCAGCTCTATGTTACTTGATTGATCTAAAGTATCTGACACAGTTGGCTCCCTCCCGCTTCTTAGATGATCTCTCCTTCCTTCGTATTCATTTCCTTGGTCTCCACTTCCTCTTATTTCTCTATCTTCTCTATCTCTTCCTCTAGCCATCCTTAATTATTGCTATGCCTTAGGGTCTATCCTACATCTTCAACTTTTTCCATACATACTGTCCTTAGATGATCTTGTCTACTCTCATGACTTCAATCACCATGCAAGTGCCAATATCTCCCAAATCTATAAATTCAGGCCAAATCTTTTTCCTGAAGTCCTAATCCATATATCGAACCACCACTTGGACACTTCCATTTGGCTGCAACACTTAAAATATAACACCCATGTTTGATGTTATTTGAGACATACTCATAGATCCAAAAATGTAATTATCGTCCACTCCTCCTAAATCTGTTCCTCTCGTGTTTCCTATCTTGGTCAATGTTACCACCATCTAAGGCAGAAACTTGGTTATCATACTTGACCCCCCTCTATCTTCATCATCTCTCATATGCAAACAATCACCAACTACTATTGTTTCTACCCCCTAAACATCTCTTAAATTCCATAGCCATAACTCTCACTCAAGTCACCAATTTCTTATCAAGATCCCCCACAATAAACCCTGCCACCGGTGTAAGGCTTTTTCCAATCCATTCTCCACACATTAGCCAGAGAGATCTATTTGGAAGATATTTCAGCTTTAAGAATTTATTTTAATGACATTAAAGATAGAATATAAATGTGTCCTTATTTTAGCCAAAGGGTTCTAATCAAATTATAAAAAGACTGACTTTTGCACATATGTTCAGTCTTACTCTTTTCTCATTCATAATTTACACTGTAAATAACTCGTCATTTGAGAGTTTCACATCTTTCCTAATAATTTTAATTAAAAAATACTTAAATTAGGAAAATAATTTTAAAATATATATATATATATATATATGTATATATATACACACACACACACACATATACACACACACACAACCAAGAAATTATTACTAAATAATTTATGGGATTTCTTTATAAGCTGTCAAGTTTAAATTTTCCACATTGCCTTTATCTTAACAGTACAACTTCTTTTTAATGATAATATATGGACCAATAAATACAACTCCTAAAAAATTTAATCCTACTATATATTTTGGAAGCACCCTACAAGCTAAGTCAAACATCCTTTTAACTATAAACCTATTTAGAATACTTTAGTGTAATTAGAAGGAACATTAGAGATTATTTAGTTTAACCTCCTCACTTCACAGATGAGCCACAAATGCCCCAATAGGGTAAGTCACTTGCCCATAATAAGCCACAGACAGAGCTGGTATATGAACCCAGACCATTGAGATACTACAGCCTGAATAAACTTTATTACCAATAACCAAAACTAAACAAAACCAAGCCATGAGATGGAGAATATGTTGTTCATTGTAAAGGGATAACATTGTAAAGGAACAACTTTGATTGGGACTTTAAAAATATTGATTGAGCCTGGCTGGCACGGCTCAGTGGTTGAACGCTGAGCTATGAACCAAGAGGTCACAGTTCAATTTTGGTCAGGGCACATTCCCAGGTTGTGAGTTCAATCCCCAGTGTGGTGGTGCAGGAAGCAGCCGACCAATGATTCTCTCTCATCATTGATGTTTCTATCTCTCTCTCTCTCCCTCTCCTTTCCTCTCTGAAATCAATAAAAATGTTAAAAAATAATAATAAAATAAAAATACAATCTAAAAAAATGTATTAACTGAGAATAATTATTCTGGTCTTGTGTGTGCATTAGAATCTAGCTATTAGGCTTATGCAATGGCAGTGTTAGCTGTAATCTAAAGCTATGCATTTAATTACTTGGTCCTATATTTAGTGACTATTATACATAATATGCTTAATTTATATATATATATGACATAAAATTTATAATCACCATTCACACATTTTACTCAGAATTCACTTCTGTTCATTGTAAAGGGATAGGAACATAGGAAATGACTAAATTATAAAGAGCTGAAAAAATAATAAAGAATGGTAAGGAGAAAAAAACAAGAATAAAGGGAATAAAAAGGTGACAATTATAGAAAATATGATACCCTTTTCCCATGGGTTCTGATTCTACCTAGAAATACTAGATAGGTACAAGTATGTGTGTTCATGTGTATACACACACATGTGCAATCATAGGTAGTCCCAGAATACTCTACATGGTGGTGTATTTCCTTTCTGTATCCTGTCTTTTATTCACACATTTGATTTCAAAAGTACATATTCCTACTTCAGGAAAGAAATCAACAGGTGGCTACTGCCTTCACTCTTACTTAACCAAGATAAATTTTTTTGTAGAAGTACATTTCTAGAAAAAAAGCCACAAAAGATCTTCAACAGTGACAGACATTTCAAAGAAATACTCATCTTTTTCCCTAGGCTATACTTATTCTTAAAATTTCCTCAACATTTAGTATATCTAATTTGGAATCCACCCAACATTAGCAACACCTGCACAAAGAAACCACCTAACATTTGGGACAACTGTTGCTAGTATCCGCAGGAAAGTCCCTTAACTTCACCAAAACAGTAACAGTCATAGTAGTAACATAATCTTTAACAAAACATAATTAATTTTCTTAAATAACACAACAAAAAATTGCCTCAAAAAAAGACATTCTCACTTACAGTGTCAGATTAATATTATGTAGCAATAAATACCCTAAGTTTGTTTTCAAGAAAATTCTTGATTTAAAAACTAGCTTGTACCTTTTCAAGGTCTGGATCTTGAAAGGGAAATTTACTGATGACTATTTTATATTCTTCTTCATTAGTAATAGGGATAGGGCTATAATTATCTTCTTCAAAAATGTCCCTGTTAAGAAAGAAGAGGGAATTGAACTATCATTAGAGTCCTGAAGGACAATATATATTTTTTAAATTTACAACTATTACCAAAGCATTTTTAAAGTTGATTTCAGAGAGAGGAAAGGAAGAGAGAGAGAGAAAAAAACATCAATGATGAGAGAGAATAATCAATAGGCTGCCTCCTGCACTGCCTCTATTTCTAAAATACTAAATATAAAAAATTGTTGATACTTATACATGATTCATCAAGACTGTCATATCCTTGGGACAACATTGTTCCAACATCACTCCTAAGAAATATTATTACAAAAAGCTTAAATGAGGATTTTTTAGTGAGTGTTAATAGAAGTGCATCACCTTGTTCACTTAGATATTATAGAATTCATAGTATTCATAGTATTCATAAGGTCTGCCCTCTAGTTTTAAAAATTAATGGGGTAAATGCCAAGCTGGGGTAAATCGCTTAACATATTTTCTAATTTAATTTCATCAAATATTATTGCCACGTAACTTCTATCATATTACAGATGACATAGATCTAAGATTTCATGATTGACTTTTTTTTCCAAATGAAGGAAGAAAAGGAGGGAAGGAGAGACGGAGGGAGAAAGGGCGGAAGGAAGGAAAGTTTTTAGAATTTAAAAAGAAGGGAGATTTCTTTTTTTCATGGCAATAGAAAATTATATAGAAATTAAAATAATTTGTCTATGCCCTATAGGCAAGTGGTTAAAGCAAAAATAATTTTCCTTATTAGATGCTTTTAAGATTTTAATCTAATTATGTTGTTTATAAAAATGGCACTTTTACCCCCCAAACAAAATTTAAAAGCATAAATTTCTAACACTAAACCTTTGGATACCTACAGCCTTTGACCCAATCATTTACTGGGAAAACAAACTACAGAGATTAAAACTAAAAGTAGTACATTTAAAAATTAATTACAAGTGGTGCAGCTACTGTGAAAAATAATGTGGCAATTCCTCAAAATATTAAACATATATTTATATATAATTCAGCAATTCCACTTCTGGGTATATACCCAAAAGAAGTGAAAACCAGGATTCAAACAGATATTTGTACACCAATGTTCACAGCATCATTATCCACAATAGCCAAAAGGTGGAAACAATTGAAATATCCATAGATGGATCAATTATAAATAAAATGTGGTATATACATACAATAGAGTATTATTCAACCTTTTAAAAAATGAAATTTTGAAAGTCACTGCAACATGGATGAACCTTAAAGACATTATTCCAAGTTAAATAATCCAGACACAAAAAAGTACAAATATTTATTTAAATATGTATCCCACATTTATGAAGTACTGAGAGCATAGAGACAAAGTAAAATGGTGATCACCAGGGGCTAGAAGAAGGGCATGGGAGTTCTTGTTTAATTGGTATAGACTTTAAGTTTGGGAAGATAAAAAACTTCTGGAGAAAGATAGTGGTGATGGTTACAATGTAAATGTACTTTATGCCACTAAACTGTATATTCCTAAAAGGTTAAAATGGTAAATTTTATGTTATATATATTTTACTACAATAAAAAATTACTATAAGCATTTATATTGCTAAATACAAAATCAGTTACTTTAGCATTTGACAAACTTTTTCACCACATTAAGGCACCGTGGCTCAGACTAACCTGAAAACTGTAGCCCATTTCTTAAGCAGTGTTTCATTGTATTGATCTCTTATTTCAAATAAAAGGTCAAAAAGCCGGTTCACTGGAAAACCATAACCCTAAAACACACACATAAAAAACAGATAAACATTCATTTTTTAAATGTTAATTTTTAAATGAAACTATTCATTTTTAAAATCTTGGAAATACTGGAGAATTGTTTGAAAGTAACCATTTACTATATCACATTATATGCCATTCCAACAGTATGAAAAAAAAGATATTCTTTTGACTTTCTATTATGTTGCATTAAGTAAGAGTCTAGAAAGAGTTTTATGAAGCTGGAATAATCTTGCCATTTCTTCCCTCTCTCTTTACTCTGGATTTCTTGGTTAGCCTTAAAAAGCATCAGAAGTCAGACTGGTGAAAAAGTTCAAGATTGATTATCTAAATAACTGTCTTGAGAAGGAGTCCCTAAATAGGATACAAGAAAAGGGAATATGCTGTCTAAAACACGCTAGCTTCCTTTTGCACCTTCAATGTTAGAGTGACTTTGTTGTACAGGGAAATTTTACATCTTTTCCTCAAACATACTTTATTTCCAAAACTTTATTTCTTTCCAACTCCAAATTCATTGAAATCTTACCCATATCAGGACCAAACATTTTCACTCATCTCACAGGTCTGTCAAGGTTTACCTCTTCATCTTAGTTCTTGATCCTATCTCATCCTGTTAGAACCACTCCACGGATTATCTATTCACTCTACTGTGCTCCTTTCTTTGGCTAAATAAATATGCTAAATCACCTCTCATCTTTAAGTCAAGAACAAAAGAAAAAAGCCCTCCATCAATTTTCTGTGCCCAGCCAGCTGCCTCCCTGTTACTCCTTTCATAGTCAAACCCTACAATAATCTAATTCCCATTCTCATTTCTGTATTAAAACTGCTCTCAACAATGACACAGATTACCTCCCAAATATGAAATTAAATGATCTCACTCTACCTTACCTCTTTTTCTTGAAACGCTGCTTTGAATTCCACAATACTCTCTCTCTCTTTGTTTTCTTAGCTATAAATAATGTAACCAGTTTCCTTTATCTCCTATCTCCATCCCTCAATCTTTTCTTCTAACTTTCTAGGGCATCTCAAGTCTACTGACTTCAAACACTAGTTTATTATTCTAAATCTGTATCTCTGGCTATACCTTTGTAAATTCTAATTATTTAATTCTAACACCTATTAGACATCTCCAGTCAGTCTGCCAGAAAGTACACTCAAGTTAATGTATCTCCTCTCATTCCAACTAAACCAAGTGTTTTTCTTATTTCCTATCTCTGTTAATAATTCTATCATCAGTCCAGTTTATCAGGAAAAAAAAAAACTTGAAAAGAAACATCTAATCAGTTACCAAATTCTTTTGATTTCACCTCCTTTACGAATCTCTTTCAAATCTACCATTCTTCTCCATCATTTACTACCTTTCTTCCAGAAATATTCCCAGTGCCACTGCTTTATTTCATTTTTTTAACATCTCTTGCCTAGACCATTATAAGAGCTTCCTAAACTAAAATTCAAACCATGTATCTCAACTCAATCTATTGCCCAAACTCTCAAAGTTATCATTTAAAAGTATAAATCTGATCATGCCATTCCCCTGGTTAAAAACTATAGAAGGCTTACTAAAGTCCCACAAGATGTGCCACAGTCTGGGTCAAACTACATTATCAGTTTCAGGACCACTATTTTGCCCTTCTTTGCTCATACCCATATGCTATATATAGTTTCTGACACCATCAAGCTGTTCAATCCCCCTCATGCTTACCACATCATACCTCTATCTATAGCTTACATGTGCTATTTTCTCTGCCACTAATGCTCCTTCCTTCAAATCTACTTGAACTCATCCTTCAAAATCCAGCCCACATATCAACAATCTGTATACAGCCTTTCCCAATTCATGAAATTAGTTAGTTATTCCATCTTCTGTGAGCCCAAAGCTCTGTAATTATTGCTATAATAATATATTATACTTCTTTTTTTACAACTAAATTTTTTGAATCCAGGGATTTTTATATCCATACCATATTACTAATTTTTATGTCTCTATCATTATATGCACCATCTAGCTGCCAGCATTTAGTGAGTGCTCAAAATGTTAGTGAATAAATCAGTAAATGTTTACTTTTGATCTGCTTAATAGGCAGAACTATTAATATGCTGGTATTACATTTTTACTTTATTGTTTAGTCAGCTTTGTTTTAAGTGATAAAATAATGACATTAAGAATAATGACATTTAAAAATTGCATAATAAACCAAATAATATGCAATATCCTTTAATCAGTTTTTATGAAAATACCTTCCCCAATTCTTCAACTAATGGGTACAACTTGAAAAGCCAGTGTTTACTAATTCAGTAAAAGACCCACCTAATGCTCAGCTTGTCAATTTTCAATTAAATGAAAATACTGCAGGATTTCTGAATAAGTAAGGACTAGTATGTCTTCCTCAATCTTATTTCAAAGCTGTAAGATTAGAAAGGTATACTTATGAGGTTTTATACACCCATCACTGTGACTTTTTAGTGCCTCTATTACCTAATGTTTTCTATTACTCTTCTTTGATTATCTGAAGAGTTCCTTGGAACCACATCAAATACTCTCTAGATTCAACTGTACTCAAAATGCCAGTCTAAGATCAGTTTGTTATGGTTTACAAAGAGATAAGGAGCTTGCACCAGCACATAAATCAATTGGGGAATCCAATGAGCTATCACCTCATGTCTGTTAGAATAGCCATGCTAAAAAACATAAGATATAAAAAATGCTGGAGTGGATGTGAAGAAAAGGGAACCTTGTACACCGTTGAAGGAATTGTAATTTGGTACAGCCACTATGGAAAACAGTATGGAGGTTCCTAAAAAAAACCACTAAAAATAGAACTACCATATGATCCAGCAATTCCGCTGCCAGGAAATGAAAACACTCATTTGAAAAGATATCTGCACCCCTATGTTCATAGCAGCAGCATTTACAATAGCCAAAAAATGGAAACAACCTAAGTGTCCATCGATGAATGAATGGATTATGAAGTTTCGGTGTACATATATACAATGGAATATTATTCATCCATAAAATAATGCGGAAATCCTACCATTCGCAACAAGATGGATAGACCTGAAAGTATTATGCTAAGTGAAATAAGACAGACAGACAAAGACAAATACTGTATGATCTAACTTATATGTGGAATCTAAAAAAAAACACACCACAAAAATAAAACTCATAGAGAAAGAGATCAGACTTGTGGTTACCAGAAATAGAGGGTAGGAGGAGGAGAAATTAGAGGAAGGTAGTCAAAAGGTACAAACTTCCAGTTATAAGTACAACATGATGACTATAGCTAACACTGCTGTATGATATACAGAAAAGTTAAGAGAGTAAATCCTAGGAGTTCTCATCGCAAAAAGAAATATTTTTCCTTTTTTCTTTTTATTTCCTTTTTATTGTTTCTACATGAGAAGATGATGTTAGCTGGACCAACTGTTGTAATCATTTCACAATATACATGTAAATACTATCATCGTGGCTATATTCCTTAAAAGTATGTAGTGATGTGTGTCAATAATTTCTCAATAAAACTGGAAAAAATATAAATCAATGCTGCTACTACCTACATCAAGAAAGTCCTGCTACAAAAAAAAATGCCAATTGAGCTAAACTTTGTAATTAGTGATGTGGTTGTATTTATATTCTGACAAAAAGTTCCTTTTTATTATGGATCCATAACAGTTTGCAGTCTAGTAACGGTTTGCAGGGTGTGATCCCCAGACTAGACTTCGAACTGCAGAGCTTTAAGCATTAGGATAGCAAAACTCCCTGAAGTTACTTAGAGATAGGCCTATAAAATTAAGGCAGTCTCCAATAAAACTACACAAAAGTTTTTTGTGTTTTTCCTCCTAGAGAGATCAGTATTACATACACATTTGTCACAAAATTTATGAAAACAAAAACCCCCACATTATTTTGGCCTTATAGTTTATAAGCCATACAAATAATAAAGCTATAAGGCAAATAAAATAATTTATTAAAGGAGCTTGTGGAATCTTCTACTTGGGTTTAAGAATAAAGGAGACCTGCCCTAGCCGGTTTGGCTCAGTGGATAGAGCGTGGGCCTGCGGACTCAAGGGTCCCAGGTTTGATTCCAGCCAAGGGCATGTATCTTGGTTGTGGGCACATAAACCAGTGGGGAGTGTGCAGGAGGCAGCTGATCAATGTTTCTCTCCCATCAGTGTTTCTAAATCTCTATCCCTCTCCCTTCCACTCTGTAAAAAATCAATAAAATATATTTTTTTAAAAAAGAATAAAGGAGACAATTATTATTCTAGAATGGAAAGACTCTTGTGATAAAGCAAACAGTTTAAATTAGCATTTCCCAAATTATATTTTATAAAGCTCTAAACCTAATAGATGTTATAAGGGGAAAAAAGATTCAAGGGTCAAATATATTGGGAAAATGCTACATAATCACTTTCCTTTTGGAAATGCGTGGTATAAATTTGCTGAGAAAAACTTTTCATGTAAAAGTCTGTTTTATTTTACTTAGAATTTCCCAAACATTTTTGACCAAAGAAATTTTATGTAGGTAACATCTATTATCACACTTTGGAAAATGCTAGTCTATATTTCATAAAACATTATTTCAACCACAAAAAAATCCCATAAGTTTAAGCCTGAAAACAATATGCAATCGATTTTTTATGATCAGTGACAAAGGAGGAGGGATGAGCTTAAAACCTTGATACTGAAAAATCACAAAGACACTGATTTTTCAGATAATTCAGTTTTAATCTTAGTTTTAAAAAAAGACTCAAAGAAGTAAAGTGATTTGCTCACAGTCATAGCACATCTGAAATTAGGAAGGAAATGAGTGAATACAACTGTCAAACTATGCGTTTTCATAATTATCACATTTAAAACTCAAAACAATTCTGAAAAGTAGTAATAAATCTATTTTCACAAATGAGGATATAAAGTTTAGAAAACTTGTACTAATAAATATACAATTATTCAACATCAGAGACAGAAAATTAACTCAGTGTCTGTGTGACTTCCAGGGCCCATGATCACTGTCCTAAGGCAAAACATGTATCTCCTAATTTCTACTACAGAGTTCTTTTTATTGCACCATGTTTTTTGTTTGTTTGTTTAGAAATAAAGTTGCTAGGTTGTTTTATTTTTTAAAGATTTTTAAAAGTGATTTTGAGAGAGAGAGAGAGAGAGAGAGAGAGAAAGAGAGAAAGAGAGAGAAACATCGCTGTGAGAGCAAAACATTGATGGGCTGCCTCCAGTATGCCCCCTACGGGGATCAAGCCTGCAAACCAGGCATTTGTCCTGACCAGGAATCGAACAGGCAACTTTTGGGTGCATGGGAAGGCGCCCAAACAACTACAAAAATACTTTTTCTATTCTAACTGAATTACCAATATTTAAAAAGATGGTAATATTCCATGAGCTCTGTCCAAAGTTCATAATAAGGCAGGAAGCTGTATGAAAAATCCTGGGTAAATGCTAATATATAAGTAAACATTTGGTTACTACTATTTTACTACCATTAATCCACAATAAATTAAATGACCATAGCCTATTATTTTGTAAATCTTTAATTGCTTAAAATAGTCATTAATTGAATGTTACAGTATCACCCACCTGCAAAGTATCTGCAAATATTACAATGAGATTCTTCAGCTCCAGAACAAGATCAGGATCAGTGCAATAAGACTGTGGGGGGGGGGGGGGGGTTGATATAGGAGTGGAAACAAACAAATAGAAAAACCCAGCGTCATTAGGTTAAAAACTAAGAATTAAAACCTGAATTTTTTTCCCTTTAATCTGCCAGACTTACAATAAATTTTGAATCTTGGTTATTAGTTAGATCCACAACTGGCTTTCTCTAATTAGTAAAATTTCTTAGGGAAAGATCATTAAAATAATGTATCTACATATCTGTATTAAAAGATTTTCCTAAAATGTGCACATAGTAAACTTTGGTTAAAGCAATGACACTCATATTTCTACTAGTTATTTTCAAATGAAAAAATGGGTTTTGCCGAAGCCGGTTTGGCTCAGTGGATAGAGCGTCGGTCTGTGGACTGAAGGGTCCCAGGTTCGATTCCGGTCAAGGGCATGTACCTGGGTTGCGGGCACATCCCCAGTGGGAGATGTGCAGGAGGCAGCTGATCGATGTTTCTCTCTCATCGATGTTTCTAACTCTCTCTCTCTCTCCCTTCCTCTCTGTAAAAAATCAATAAAATATATTTAAAAAAAAGAAAAACAAAAAGAAAAAATGGGTTTTAAATATATATACATTTATATATGTATATAAATATATAACTCATATTTTTAGTTCTCAAATATTTACCTTATAAGAGACACAAATACATTACTTTTTTCCAACATAAGAATTATAATTTAAGTATTTTATTAATAATGTACCAAAAGAAAATAATTAATTTCAAAGGAATAGTGAAATTCACTGTCCTCTTAAGAGTATTTAATAAAAATTTGAGTGTGATATATTGCATTCAACATATTATGACCTTGTATTGATGTCATGGAATTAATAGGAAGTATACTATAATTTTACATATTCAGAGCTGGTCTGAATATAAACCATAAAACATATTGTTTTTTATTAATATGTTAGGAAAATTAGTTCACTGGACAAATAGTGTATTAAGAATCTGTATTACAGATAAATAAAATGCAGTGTATTTATAATATAAATATCACATAAGCTAATAATCCTCTTTTAAAATGTTTTCAATATTCTCAGTAAAATTATAAATAAGGTTATAAAATTTTAAGTATGAAGAGATTTTACTGAAGGTAAACTACAGAAATTGTCTTAAGAAAAAGACTACACTGAACAATCATTAATTTCAGTAGTCTTTATAATACTAACATATTTATTATTTCCACAAGAAGCATATTATATAAATACTTAATCATTTTACTTTTATTCATTAAAAATATCTCATTACATAAAGTTTCTTTATTCAAATGAGTTCAAAATTTGACATTGCATATTTTAAAGAAATGTATAATTGCATTACTGCAAACAAATCATGAACATTGAAGAACAAGTTCTATTGTGTTTTGGGTTGTTGTTTTTTTAGTTTTAATGGTGGAATTTACTTTGGAAGCAAAGAATTTGGAATGATAATTAAAAACCCTTTATTCATGGTGTTTTCCAGTGATCTAATGAAGAGGTCAGTTGAGATTAATGAGACCAGCTTAATTCTTCGTTTTCTATAATATTGGACTAAAAATGTCTTGGGAAGCCCCAGTCAGTTGCAAAATCACAGCCCAATATTACCAAATGAAAGCCTGACAGTACTATTTCCAAATCTGAGCAATAACTAAATATATACAGAATGATGGAAGTACAGTTTTCTTCTGACAATATCTGTCTCAGAAGTTCTCAAAGTAAATTAAAAATTTAGTAACATAAATTGTCTGACTTACTGAGTGAGCTCTAAGGACAGCAATTATCTTTGAGAGGGCCATGTTCCAAAGTTCATCAGTGTATGCCCTGGTTACTAATCCTTGGGTCACATGCAAAATATGATCTTCAACCACAAAGAACCTAAAAACAGTAATTACCGATATAACATGTGTTAAAAAAATTCAAACCCAAATACAAAATTATTAGTTCTGACATTTAACATAATATAAAAATAATATTTATTTCCATATTAGATACATACCCTACAATTTGAGTGAAATATCTTCTATAGCCATCAACTGTTTCATGCTTTAAATGAAAAATAAAAATCAATTTAAACCAATACATACCAGAACAAAAAAGTCACTACATTTATTAACAAATATTTATTGAGAGCCTACTATATGCTGCATACATTTTAAAGCACCAGGGGATACACTGATAAATAACAAAAAGTCCTTATCCTCATGAAACTTGCATCAAAAATAAGACAGACAATAAACAAGTTAAAAAGTAAATATGACTTCAGAACTGCCCACCCTCTCAGCATTTAATTCAAGCCACCATCATCTCTCACTTGGGATATTACATCATTCTCCTACTAGTCTCCCTAGTTTTCAGGCTTGATCCTTAGTCTATTCTCCAGATACCTGCAAAAATGATACTTCCAAATAGTAATGAGATCACATATCTTCTGCTAAAAACCTTCCAATGACTTTTCATCTGATTCACAATAAATGTCAAACTCTTTACAAATGGTCTACAATTGCATATTGTTTATAATTATTTATAGTTTTGCATATAGATAATGATCTTGTGGTCAGGAGACATACTCTGTATGATTTCAAGTCTTTTATATTTGTTGAGATGTATTTAATGGCTCAGAATATGATCTATCTTGGTGAACATTCCAAGTCTAACTGAAAACCATGCGTAGTCTGCTGTTTTGGGTAAAGTATTCAGTCAGCATCAATTAATCAAGTCAGCTGATAATGTTTTTCAGGTTTTCTATTTTCTCTATCTTTGGTATTCTGAAGTTTCACTGTAAGGTCTTTAAGCGTAAATCCTTTTTATTTAACCTACTTGGTATTCCTTAGGCTTGACCTATAGGTTTCTATTTTTCATCTGTCCTGGCAAATTCTCAGCCATTATATCCTCAAATACTCCTCTGTCCCATTTGTTTTATCTTCTCTTTCTGAAACTCCAACTAGAAATGTTAGACCTTCTCCCTGTATACCCTTGCTCTTATCTATTTTTATCATTTTGTCTCTCTGTGATTCTTTCTAGATAATTTCTTCAGATCAACTGAAGAGAATTCATCAACTGTCAAACCTATCATAAAATTTTAAATTTTGGTTAATATATCTTTAATATCTAGGTATTCTACCTGATTTTCCTTCACATTTTTTGGACATTCTCTATAGTTTCTTATTTCCTAATTATATCAGCAAGCTTATATAAATGCTCACACTAATCTCAATTTCTGCCTTCATTTAGGTATTCCTGTTTTCTTTGTTTTATAGTCAGATCTAATGAGGTATACGTTATATACAATAAAACTCACTCTTTTTCATGCACTACAAGTTTTCAAAAATATATCTGGTCATGTAACTATCACCAAAACCAATATATGGAACAGTTCCATATTCACTACATTTTTGTCCTGACTATACTTTTGTCCTGACTATACTCTCTCTAAAAAAAAAAAAAAAAAATCAATTTAAAAAAATACTTAAAAAAAAAATTAATCAAGGTACAGAGTCCACCATGGTGTAAGAAACTAATGATTACTCCCAACAGCTTATATGTTTACTTGTTTATCCTTTTATTTACTCACTGTCTATTTTATTTGTTTACTGTCTACCTTTGCCAACAGAATGTAAGTTCATGAGAGAAGGGACTTATCTGTTTTGCTCACTGTTGTACCATCAGCACACAAATCAATTACTGGAAATAGTAGGTGTTCAATAAATATTTATAGTTAAATGAATAGCGATGCAAGCTCTGAAGAAATTAAAGCAGGTAAGGAGATAAAAAGTGACAACATGACCGATTCAAAAATTTTATATACTTACCATATTTGACTGGGGCTGCAAAACCAGTCTTGCTTGTTTCTTTCTTTGTTTTCGATAATAATTTTCAAATGTTTCCTCATCACCCTAAAATCAAATCAACAGAGTAATGAAAACACCTGTACACACACACACACACACACACACACACACACACACACACAAAGATACTTACCAAAGCAGAATAAATGTGCAAACATCTGTAAACTGGAGAAAAATCAACGAGTTCTTGAACAGTTAAGACCTGAAAAGAAATATCATTTTTAAAAAATTAGAGGTCGAACTACTAGTCCATTCTTGGATAATGTAAAGTTAAAGATAGGCAAGGAGATTCATTAACTTCATGTTATACAATTTATCACCTATAAAAAAGACTATCAACGTAATGCCCTTTTTACATTCTTGTGGCATTTGTTCAGTAGTTCATTCTGTGTATATTTATCATCACTGGCTATTTTAGATTGTCTTATACTAGAGGCCCAATGCATGAATTCGTGCATGGGGGGCAGGAAGGGACTGCGGGAGGTTGGCCGGCAGGCCCTGATCTAGTTGTGTAGTTGTGCTGAGGTAGCAGCAAGCAAAGCCCACAGAGTGCCCCAAAACGCCTGAACACCAGCTACGCTCTGAGGTGTAAATACAGCTCTACTTCGCTGCCCGAGCTCCGGCCACCTCACTCCCTTGGGCGGAGTTGCTGACAGACAGACAGGAAGTCTCTCCTACCTCAGCCACAGGAGCGCTAGCCAATCAGCGGTTGGGAGCCTGGAAAGGCATGGGGCCAAGCTAGAAGTGGCTAATGGGGGCAGAAGGGCGAGTGGCGTGGTGCGGTGGCAGAGGTAAGATGGCGGTGGTGCTTACTTTACATCTTTCCAGTTAGGCTGCTGTCTTGCCCCTTCTGGCCCCTCCGAGCTGCTACTCTGTCTCGATCAGCGCTGGGGTTGCTTTCCTTCTACAGGCTTCCCGGACCCAGACTGTATGGTGCCCACTGCCCAGAGCCTTAGCCAGGGCAGGGACCGGCCAGGGGAGGGACTGCAGGAGGTTGGCCAGCCACCAGCCATGGGAGGTTGGCTGTGGGAGCACACTGACCACCAGGGGGCAGCTCCTGTGTTGAGCGTCTGCCCCCTGGTCATCAGTGCACATCATAGCGACCAGTGATTTTAGTCGTTCCGGTTGTTTGGTCATAACGGCCACTTAGGCTTTTATAGATAGATAGATAGATAGATAGATAGATAGATAGATAGATAGATAGATAATAAAAGCCTAACATGCTAAGTGTCTGACTGTTCGACCAGTCGCTATGACGTACACTGACCACCAGGGGGCAGACGCGCCAACTACAGGTTAGCTTGTTGCTGGGGCCCAGCTGATCAGGACTGGGCGAGATGGGCTGGACATGCTCTGGAGCCCTCCCACGGTCCCTCCCCAGCCCCGACTGTGCACTGGTGAGGTCCCTCGGTGTGGCTTGCGCCCTCTCACAATCCGGGACCCCTCGGGGGATGTTGGAGAGCTGGTTTCAGCCCGATCCCCACAGGCCAGGCCGAGGGACCCCACCAGTGCATGATTCCATGCACTGGGCCTCTAGTAAGGTAATAAAGGAGAGAGACTTATGTCTTCAAATACTTGGTAGGGTGCCAGAAAAACTGTTACAGATAAGAGGCTACATCATTATTGCCATTTTTATTTTTTGTGCCTGTGTTCTTTTTTCCCTTTTTTCTTCTTTTTACACCAGTCCCTTTAGCATTTCTTGCATTGGATTTATGGTATAACTATAGACAAAGTTCCTACTCTTATGCAGCTAAGTCATATGATCTACTATTTCATCAAATTGAAGACATAATCATTACTATTTTATAAAACACTAAGAAAGAAAAAAAAACACTAGCACTTGAAACTATATCAATTTAAGATGTATCCCAACTCTGAGAAGTTGCGCCTCAGAAGAGATGAAATAGAGTAGTACAAAGTTACTCAAACTTGAGATATAAATTATTTTTTTTATTTTTTAAATACATATTTTTATTGATCTCAGAGAGGAAAGGAAAGAGAGAGGAACATCCATGATGAGAGAAAATCATGGATCGGCTGCCTCCTGCACGCCCCCCACTGGGGATCAAGCCCACAACCCGGACATGTGCCCTGACGGGGAATTGAACAGTGACCTTCTGGTTCAGAGGTCAACACTCAATCACTGAGCCATGCCGGCCAAGCTAAATTCTTTTTAAAGAAACATACTTCTATGCTCATGAGTCCCCAGAGTAGATTTATTTTTTATTATAAAGTTACTTATTAGGGAAAATGATAGAAACAAATACAAGTAATAATAAAATAGATCTGTAAAAACAGGGAAACAACCAAGTTTTTCTTACAGTATGGATTTAGTAGTAGGGCATGATGGTAATACTCTCAGCAGTTAAAGATACAAAACATCCCTGGCCAGTGTTGCTCATTGTTTAGAGCAGTGGTGGGCAAACTGCGGCTCGTGAGCCACATGCGGCTCTTTTGCCCCTTGAGTGTGGCTCTTCCTAAGCCTTAGGAGTACCCTAATTAAGTTAATAACAATGTACCTACCTATACAGTTTAAGTTTAAAAAATTTGGCTCTCAAAAGAAATTTCAATCGTTGTACTGTTGATATTTGGCTCTGTTGACTAATGAGTTTCCCGACCACTGGTTTAGAGTATCCACCTGAGCACCGAAGGGTCACAGGTTCGATTGGTGTTTCTCTTTCTCTCTCTCTCTTCCCCCCCCCCTCTCTCTCTAAATAAGTAATCTTTTAAAATAATAATTTCAAGGTTTCTAAATTTATTAAAATTTTTCAAGAAACAAAAAACTTTAAAAAAGAAATAAAAAATTAATCATATTAAAATTATTTTATAGTATCTCAGCACCATTTTTTTTTAAAGGAAGGCTATCCAGAATTAGTCTGAATTTTAAGGTCAAGCTATCATGAAATTAAATGCTTACCACAGATAAAGAAATATATTTTTTTTTAAAAAAGATAATTAAAATATAACCAATCACTTCAAAAAATTAGATTTACACTTTTGCTGCTAATTGTGGCAGAACAACTAAGGTGAACTATCTCTGATTTACAAGTATAAACTACAATATTTCGTGTTTATTATGCAATCTAATACTTCAGATCATTCTACTGTCCTACTATCACTAACTAGTCTACTTAAATTTAATTTGCACATGGTAAGAATAAGAATCACAGTCATACATTACAACTTAAAAGAAAAAAATTCATACAAAGAAAGAAAATATAAAAATATTAGAGGAATCCACAGGCAGCAAAATCTCAGACATATGCCGAAGCAATATCTTCACCGATACAGCTCCTACAGCACTGGAAACTAAAGAGAAAATAAACAAATGGGACTACATCAAAATAAAAAGCTTCTGCACAGCAGAAGAAACCACCAACAAAACAACAAAAAAGCCCACTGCATGGGAGAACATATTTGCCAATGTTATCACCAATAGCGTTTAATCTCCAACATTTACAGGGACCTCATACAACTTAACAAAAGGAAGATAAACAACCCAATCAAAAAATGGGCAACAGACCTAAATAGATACTTTTCAAAAGAGAACATAAGGAAGGCCAAGAGACATATGAAAACATGCTCAAAGTCACTAATCATCCGAGAGATGCAAATCAAAATAACAATGCAGTACCATCTCACATCTGTCAGATGGCTATCATCAACGAATCGACAAATGACAAGTGCTGGCGAGGATGCAGAGAAAAAGGAACCCTCATGCACTGCTGGTGGGAATGCAGACTGGTGCAGCCACTGTGGAGAACAGTATGGAGTTTCCTCAAAAAACTAAAAATGGAACTCCCATTTGACCCAGTGATACCACTTCTAGGAATATATCCCAAGAAACTAGAAACACCAATCAGAAAGGACACATGCACCCCTATGTTCATTGCAGCACAATTTACCATAGCTAAGATTTGGAAACAGCCTAAGTGCCCACCAGCAGATGAGTGGATTAAAAAACTGTGGTACATCTACACAGTGGAATACTACACTGCGGTAAAAAAAGAAGGAATTCTTACCATTTGCAACAGCATGGATGGAACTGGAGAGCATTATGCTACGCAAAATATGTCAGTCAGAGAAAGATAAATATCACATGATCTCACTCATTTGTGGAATATAATGAACAACATAAACTGATGAACAAAAACAAATCCAGAGACAGAGAAGCATCGATCAGACTGTCAAACCTCAGAGGGAAGGTAGGGGAGGGTGGGGGTAAAGGGGAGACATCAACCAAGGGACTTATATGCATGCATTTATATTAGACTTATGCCTAACCAATGGACACAGACACCAGGGGGGTGAGGGCATGAGTGGAGGGAGGAGGGGAGGGGGCAATGGGGGAATAAGGACACATATGTAATTCCTTAATCAATAAAGAAAAAAGAAAAATGAAAGAAAACAAAAAAGGAAAGAAAGAAGACAGAGATAAAGTAACTCTAGTCACCTCCTCTTCATTCTCATCCTCTTCCTCAAATGTATGTTTCAACACAATTTCATTCCTTTCTTCTGTAATTCTATCATTTATATACATGTGCCTCCCAAATTTTACATTATTTTGCTTCTGCAAAGCAACACTGAAGGTTTTCTGCTGTTGTGCCTATTTGGGAAAAAGAAAAATTCAGATTATTTCAAAATTTATTATGGTCAAATTGGTTCAAGAATTCATTCATATTTTCCTATATTTTTGTCTGCAGGTATAGGATGTGGAGTAATATCCCATTTTTAATTTATGATCTGTGGCCTTTCTCTTCTTTTTTGAACAGCCTTGCAAGGGTTTATAATTTTATTTTAAAAGATTAAGACCCAACTTTTAACTCTGTTGATTCTCCCTAGAGTGCTTTGTTTTTTATTATATTGATTTCTATTCTTACCTTTATTATTTCTTTCTACTTACTTTTTAAAAAATTGTATTTTATTGTGGTAAGCATACTTAAGATGAGATCTACCATAAATTTTAAGTGCACATAGATTATTATATTATTTCAATATATTAATATTAACATTATGTTAATATATTAATACATTATTTTTAACTATAAGTACAATGTTGTACAGCAGACCTCTAAAGTTTATCCATCTTGCTTAACTGAAACATTATACCTGTTGATTAGTAACACCTCTTTCCCAGCTCCTTCCAGCCCCTGGTAACCACCATCCCACTCTTCAATTCTATGAATTTGACTATTTTAGATTATTTTCCTTTTTATAGACTGGGTGTAGTATTCCCTTGTATGTATATACCACAATTTCTTAAACCATTCATCTGGCAACTACTATGTGGTTGGGATTGATCCTTATAGTTAGCCAGCCTGAACAAACGGGCCAATAGCAATCAACACTCAATTACAACAGGAGGGCCCACATAAACCACAAAAGAGTCGGTCATTCCTAGAGCACCCAGCTCTGCCTCCACCTACCAGCCGCCTATTAGGCTCACTCACTTCAGTGGAGCCTCTGGAGATACTAAGGCACAGAGTTATTCTTTGATCTCTTTGGTAACCCAATCATTGTTTAATAGCATGCTATTCAGCTTCCAAGTGTTTGAATTTTTTTTTATTGTTTTTACTGTAGTTTCTTTCTAATATTATGCCATTGAGGTCTGAGAAGATGCTTGATATGATTTCAATCTTCTTGAATTTGGAGAGACTTTGCCTGTGACCCAATATGTGGTCTATCTTTAAAAATGTCCCTGCCCTTGCTGGTTTTGCTCAGTGGATAGAGCATCGGCCTGCGGACTGAAGGGTCCCGGGTTCGATTCTGGTCAAGGGCACATGCCTGGGTTGCGGGCTCAATCCTCAGTGGGGGGCATGCAGGAGGCAGCCAATCAGTGATTCTCTCTTATTGATATTCCTCTCTCTCTCTCCCTCTCCCTTCCTCTCTAAAATCAATAAAAATATATTTTTTTTAAAAAATAAAAATGTCCCATGTGCACTTGAGAACGTATATTCCATGGCTTTGGGGTGCAATGTTCTGAAGATGTCAATTAAGTCCATCTGATCTAGTGAGTCATTTAGGATTGCTGTTTCTTTGCTGATTTTTTGTCTAGAGGATTTATCCAGTGATGTCAGTGGTGTATTAATGTCCCCTACTATGACTGTATTGATATCTTCCAGAATTTTTAAGTATTTGGGTGCTCCTGCATTGGGTGCATATACGTTTACCAGGATTATAACCTCTTGTTGTATTGATCCCTTTAGTATTATGATGTGGCCTTCCTTATCTCTTGTTATGGCCTTCACTTTGAGGTCTATTTTGTCAAATATGAGTATTGCTACCCCAGCTTTTTTTTTTTTTCATTTCTATTTGCCTGGAAGATACTTTTCCATCCCTTCACTTTCAGTCTGTGTGAGTTCCTTGTTCTGAGGTGGGTCTCTTGTAGACAGCACATACATGGGTCATGTTTTCTTATCCATTCAGCCACTTGATATCTTTTGATTGGAGCATTTAGTCCACTTATGTTTAAAGTTATTATTGACAGGTACCTGTTTGTAGCCATTTTTATTTTGTGCCTGTGTTCTTTCTTCCCTTTTTATTTCTTCTTTTTATACCAGTCCCTTTAGCACTTCTTGCATTGCTGGCTTGGTGGTGATAAACTTCTTTAGCCTCTTTTTGTCTATGAAGCTCCTTATTTCCCCTTCAATTTTGAATGATAGCCTCTTGGATTCAGTCCCTTGCTTTGCATCACTTTGTAAACTTCCTTCCATTCCTTTTTGGCTGATGTGTTTCTGTTGAGAAATCATTTGATAATATAATGGGAGATCCCTTGTACATAACTTTCTGTCTCTCTCTTGCAGCCTTTAAGATTCTCTCTTTGTCCTGAACATTTGCCATCATAATTATGACATGTCTTGGTGTGGGCCTTTTCAGGCTCATCTTGTTTGGGACTCTCCGTGCTTGTGTGACTTTTTTCGTCCCAACATCAGGGAATTTTCTGACATTATTTCATCAAATAGGTTTTCTAACCCTTGTTCTTCTTCCTGTCATTCTGGCACCCTTATTATTCATATGTTGCTTTGTTTCATGTTGTCCCAAAGCTCCCTTAGGCTCTCCTCCTGTTTTTTAAATTTTTTTCTCCAATTGCAATTCAGTTTGGGTGTGTTTTGCTTCCCTATCTTCTAATTTGCTAATTCGGTCCTCTGCTTCTCCTAGCCTACTGTTGAAACTTTCCATAGTGTTTTTTTATTGCAGCTATATCACTCTTTATCTCTTCTTATATCTTACATAAGTTGTTGATTTTTTTCATACATCCAGTTGATGAAATGTATGACCCTTATTCTGAATTCTTTTTCTGATATATTGCATGCCTCCGTTTCACTTAGCTCCTTTTCTGGCGATTCCTCCTTTTCTTTCCTTTAGGGGTTTCTTTGCCTTCCAATTTTTGCTCTCACTGAAGGATCTAGGTGCCAAGTCGTACAGGGGCTGCTCCTCGGGCGGCAGCGGCTCCCTGGGTGGCGGCTACTCCTTGGGTAGTCATGGCAGAAGCTGCTCCTCAATTGGTGGCAGCTCCTCTGGTGGGCACTGCTCACAGCAGTGATGGCTCCTCTGGGTGGCGAGGCGGGCTGCTCTCACGGCTTCTGCTCCTCGGATTGGGGCAGGCTGCTCACAAGACTGCTGCTCCTCAGACAGGGGCAGGCTCTGCACAGCTGTCTGTGCGCAGCTGTCTGTGCACAGCTGCTGCTCCTTTGACAGGGCAGGCAGTTCGTGAAGCTGCTGCTCCTTGGACGGGGGCGGGCTGCGCGTGGCTTCTGCTCCTTATACAGGGGCAGGCTGCTGGTGAGGCTGATGCTTCTCATACAGGGACAGGCTGCATGCAGCTGTTGCTCCTTGGAGGGGGGCCGGCTGCTCACAAGGCTGCTGCTCCTCGGATGGGGGCGGGCTGTGCGTGGCTGCTGCTCAGAAGTCAGTTTATTGCTATGAGGATGTGTTCCACCCAAGAAAGATGATATCTGGGGTGTGGGAGAGTGACTCAGCACAAGGATCCTGGCAGCTGTCCCTTCTGCTCTCTCCCCAGAGCCATAAACCCCAGTCTCTTCTCATGTGACTCTAGTCTTCTCCAGCTTCCCCTCTGCCAGACCTCAGGGTGAATGGCTGCAAAAGAGTTTTTGCACATTGACCCTTGAAGAGGGTGCCTATGTATCTAGCAGACTCCCATCTCTCCCTGGCATACATAATCACTGATTTTCACATCCAGATGTTATGTGGTCACCTCTTCATGGCTCTGGTGCTCTGGGCTGGAGAGCCCAACATGGGGTTGAGACCCCACGCTCCTCAGGGAGAACCTTTGCAGCTGAGATATCCCAACGAGATCTCATCTACTGCCCTGGGGAGCTAGCCCTTTTCATCTCCCTGCCCTTCCTACTAATCTGCTGTGGCTTCTTCTATAAATCCTTGACTATAAGATTTCTGTTCAGCCGAAACCGGTTTGGCTCAGTGGATAGAGCATCGGCCTGTGGACTGAAGGGTCTCAGGTTCGATTCCGGTCAAGGGCATGTGCCTGGGTTGCGGGCATATTCCCAGTGGGAGATGTGCAGGAGGCAGCTGATCGATGTTTCTCTCTCATCGATGTTTCTAACTCTCTATCTCTCTCCCTTCCTCTCTGTAAAAAATCAATAAAATATATTTTTTTTAAAAAAGATTTCTGTTCAACTATTCTTCGATTGGTTATTCAAGTTGATTGTTCTATATTTTTAGCTGTAATTTCAGTTTGGTCCTGGGAAGAGGTGAGTGTAGCTTCCACTTACTCTACCGCCATCTTGTATCTCTTGCCAATTTCTCCACATTCTTTCCAACACTTGTTTACTTGTTCTCTCTCTCTCTCTCTCTCTCTCTCTCTCTCTCTCTCTCTCTCTCTCTCTCTCTCTCTCTCTCTCTCCCATCCTGACAGGTGTGAGGTGACATCCCATTGTGATTTTATTTTGCATTTCCCTGAGGTAAGTGATGCTGACATGTTCCCATATACCTGTTGGCCATTTGTATGTCTACTTTAAAAAAAACACGTCAATTGCCCTGGCCAGTTTGGCTCAGTAGTTAGACTGTCAGCCCAAGGACCAAAGTTTCATGTTTTTTGATTTCCCGTCAAGAGTATACACCTCAGCTACAGATTTGATCCCTGGCCCTGGTTGAGATACAAGCAGGAAGCAACCAATCAATGTGTCTCTCTCATGTTGATGACTTTCGATCTCTCTCTCTCTCTCTTCCTCCCTCCCTCCCTCCCTTCCTCTTCCCTCCCTTCCACTCTGTCTAAAAATCAGTGGGAAAATATCCTCAGATGAGGATTTAAAAAATAGTCTATTCAAGTCCTTAGACCATTTTTAAAATCAGATGATTAGATTCTTTACTCTTGAGTTGTAAGAGTTCCTTACATATTTTGGAGATTAATCCCTAATGAAATATATAGGTTGCAAACATTTTCTTCCATTCTATAGATGGCCTTTTCATTCTGATAATTGTTTCCTTTGCTGTACAGAAGCATAATGGCTGGGAGATTTATATATACTGTCACACATGTCAGTAATGCATTCTTTTTCATTGCTAAGTAATATTCCATTTTATGAGTATAGCACAATTTGTTTATCCATTCTCCTTAGGCTGTTGCCAGTTTTTAGCCAACTGTAAATAAAGATACTATGAGCATCATGAGAACATGTTTTCATTTCTCATTGGTAAATAACTAGGAGAGGAAATGCTGACTCAAAAGTAGGTACATTAACTTTATAACTGCCAAATCTTTTCCCATTGCTTGTCTTTTTATTATTGAGCTGTAGGAGTTTATTCCAGATAATACTTTCAATTTGTTTTAAAGAGAGAGCAATTTAGAACCTTAACATAAAAAGGCTGCCACTTTTCAGCTAATTTTATACCAAATTTGACTGGTGGCAAAAGTTAATGTAACACCACATAGATGGGGAACACTGCTAAGGAATCAGATAGTATGTCAAGTTAAACAAGGAATAACCACAATTCAAAAGAAGACTCTAGTGAATCCATTCTAAACAGGAACCAGGAAAAATGACAAAAGGATACAACTAAACAAAAATAAGCATTTCATGGACGTAAAGAAAGTAAACTTTGAATATATTCTATAACCTAGATTATTAAATAATTAAATTAAATTTCAAAAAAATTTAACCTCACCTGTTTCATTGCTGCTTCACCTATTTTATTAGAATGTTTTCGAATGCTTTCCAAAAAGTCTTTGAGATCAGACATAGAGATTTCTTTAATATCCTCACGGAGTTTAGGAAGATTTTCTATCATTAGCTGACAAAACCGGTATTGACTAACCCGGGGAAAATAAACATTCTCTAATTGTTCCATAGTTTTTAGAGCAGAGTAATACCTGTGAGAAGTTAAAAAGAAAACTCTATAAAGTTCTTATTACATTAATTTTACAAATAATCAATCTAACACTCCCATCAAAAAAGTCAGGTATAAGTAAAACAAACATTTATTTTTATTTACTAAGAAGCACAAACTATAAATCATAAGAATAAGCTACAAGCTGAAAATTCATGGCTTATACACTAACATACAACTTCATTTCACTTCATCCAAATTATATAACATCACAAGCATTATAGTCATCACTATATCTAAACGTATAATAATTATAAATTTTTAAATTAGAATATTTAGTTGATAGGTGATTTCATTAATATCTCTCCCATCAACACACCATCACCATCCAAAAATACAAAGCACAGATTTAATTTAAAGTAAAATATATTTTAAGGAATTAAAAAAAAAGTAACTAAGACAATTAGAAATAATATTGTGTCACACAAAAAAATAAAAAACCACTGGCAGAGTGATTTTTTTTTCCATTTCAACAAATACTGAATGCCTATTACTTAGTAGGCACTGGTGGCATGCTGGATATGCAGCAATTAGTAAAGTATAGCTTATGCCCTAGAAAAACTAATATATAATTTCATATACATCAATTTTCTCTAGACTTCTATAAGACAGATATCTACGGCAGATTATTACTATTAGATGAGAAAACTGAAACACAGAAAAAGGATATATAATTTGGTCAAGATACTAAAATTAATAATAGGACTCGAACTTTCCAAAATTGTCAATATCCTGCAATAATATTCACCACCAAAATCCATTTAAGAGTAGGTAGAGGATTTCTAAATTAATTAATTAATATTCTATGCCTTTCCAGTGATTTAGATATTAAAAAGAGAAAAGGCACTATCGAAAAACAAACCAGAAAGTAATATATATGCAAACTAAAAAAAAGAAGGTTGAAAAGCTACTTAAAGATATTTATTGGTTTTTTTAGCTTATATATTCTCAAAGGTAGAGTATATTTTGCAAATTGTCACAAAATTGTACCACTAATTTAAAAATTACACCTAAATTTTATTGTAGTAATTTAAAGTCACTAGAATTGTTATAATATAAATAATATTACTTAAATATATATATGTCTGTGTGTGTGTATATATAGATATGTGTGTGTATATATATATATTTGGCCCTAGCCGCTTTGCCTCAGTGAACAGAGTGTCGGTCTGCGGACCAAAGGATCCAAGGTTCAATTCCAGTCAAGGGCATGTACCTTAGTTGCAAGCTCCTCCCGAGCCTGGGCCCTGGTCAAGGCTTACACAGGAGGCAACCATTGTGCAGGAGGCAACCAAACAATGTGTTTCTCTCACATTGATGTTTCTCCCTGTCTTTCCCTCTCTCTTCCACTCTCCCTAAAAATCAATGGAAATATATCCTTGGTTGAGGATTAACAACAACAACAAAGAAAACAAACAAATATATATATATATATATATATATATATATATATATATATATACACACACACATACACTAGAGGCCCAGTGCACGAATTCGTGCATGGGTGGGGTCCCTCGGCCTGGTCAGCGATCAGGGCCGATTGGGGCCATCTCGCCCAGTCCCGATTGGGGCCGGCCGGAGGGAGGGACCGCAGGAGACTGGCTGGCCGCGGGAGGTTGGCTGTGGGAGTGCACTGACCACCAGGGGCAGCTCCTGCGTTGAGTGTCTGCCCCCTGGTGGTCAGTGCATATCATAGCTACCAACAGGTCATCTGGTCAAAACAGTCGCTTAGGCTTTTATGTATATACTAGAGGCCCGGTGCACAAAAATTTGTACACTCGGAGGGAAGGGGGTCCCTCAGCCCGGCCTGTGCCCTCTCGCAGTCTGGGACCCCTCGGGAGATAACGACCTGCTGGCTTAGGCCTGCTCCTGGGAGGCAGAGGGCAGGCCCAATCCCTTGGTGCAGCCCCTGGTCGGGCTCAGAGCAGGGCCGATTGGAGAGTTGGGGCGCTGCCCCTGTCATGCACAGAGCAGGGCGATCGGGAGGTTGCGATGCCACCCTCAGTCACACTCAGGGTAGGGCTGATTGGGGGGTTGGGGCACCACCCCCTGTCACACTCAAGGCAGGGTCGATGGGGAGGTTGCGGCGCCACCCCCTGTCACGCACAGAGCAGGACCAATCAGGGGGTTGGGGCGCTGCCCCCTTTCACTCACAGAGTAGGGCCCATGAGGGGGGTTGGGGCTCCTTACCTGTCACGCACAGAGCAGGGCCCATCAGGGGGTTGGGGAGCTCTCCCCTGTCATGCACAGAGCAGGGCCCATCAGGGGGGTTGGGGCTCCATACCCTGTCACTCACAGAGCAGGGTTGATCAGGGGGTTTGGGAGCTCCCCCCTGTCATGCACAGAGCAGGGCAGATCAGGGGGTTGGGGAGCTCCCCCGTCACTCACAGTGTAGGGCCGATAGGGGAGTTGGGGCACCGCCCCCTGTCACACACAGAGCAGGTGGATCAGGGGGTTGGGGTGCCACACCCTGTCACACTCAGGGCAGGGCCAATGGGGAGGTTATGGCTCTACCCCATCACACAAAGAGCAGGGCCCATGGGCGGGCTGGGGGGGTGCCACACTCTGTAACACACAGAGCCGCAGGGTGATCAGGGGGTTGGGGAGCTCCCCCCTATCAGGCACAGAGCAGGGCTGATCAGGAGGTTGGGGCGCCTTCCCCTGTCACGAGCAGAGCAGGGCTGATAGGGAGGTTGTGGTCCCACCCCCTGTCACACACAGAGCCGCAGGGCGATCAGGGGGTTTGGGCGCTGCCCCCTGTCACGCTGATTCCAGTGCCGGGAGGCCTCGCAGCTCCGCTGATCCCGGTGCTGGGAGGCATATTACCCTTTTACTATATAGGATAGAGGCCTGGTGCATGTGTGGGGGCCGGCTGGTTTGCCCTGAAGGGTGTCCTGGATCAGAGTGGGAGTCCCCACTGGGGTGCCTGGCCAGTCTGGGTGAGGGGCTGAGGGCTGTTTTCAGGCTGGCAGGTGACGGAAGCTCCCAACCACTCCTTTTTTTCTTTTTTTTTATTCTGGGCCAGCTTTAGCTCTGAGGCTCCAGCTCTTAGGCCTCCGCTCCTGAAAGCAGGTATCTGGTTTGTTTCGGTTCTATAATCGAAACAATGTATAACTCCAGCTCTGAGATCCCAGCTCGCTGAAAGCAGGTTTCTGGGGTTTTGTTTAGCTTCTATATTTGTTACAATGTTTGAAACTGCAGGCTCAGAGGCCGGCAAGGCAGGCGGGGAACATTGGAGTCCTCTGTCACTGAAGCAAGCAAGCCTCATGTTAGTTTCAAACTGCCTGGCTGCCGGCCGCCATCTTGGCTGGCAATTAATTTGCATATCACCCTGATTAGCCAATGGGAAGGGTAGCGGTCGTATGCTAATTACCATGTTTCTCTTTTATTAGATAGGATGTAGATATATAGATATATTTGGTCAGAAATTAACACATTTAGGTGAAGGTATTAAGAAGTAACAATTGGTATGGGGATGTAAAATATACCATAAGGAATATAGTCAATAATATTGTAATAACTATGTATGGTGTCAGATGGTGATTTATTAGGGTGATCACTCCATTAGTTAGATAAATGTCTAATCACTATGCTGTACAGCTGAAACTAATATAATATTGCATCCAACTGTAATTAAAAAATAAAAAAAATATTTAAAAATAAATTTTTCATCTTTAAAACAGGTTAAGCAGTACACCTAATGTTTCTATGGCAATTAATAAACTACTTCAAATTATTTTTACTTTTCATTTGTAATTTATGCATTTGTGTTATAAAACAGAACATGAACTACACTAGCCCAGATTGTCAAAATATAACTACCCATACTTTGCTTTCATCTGTGGACTTACAATACATACTTAGTCTGTGATCTTATGGTCAATGTTGGTAAATTAATCAATATTTTTTCATTCCTGTTCCCAGTTGTCTATTTATCCCTCATCAATATGATCAATCTTTCATATCATTTACATAGGGTAAGGATCCACAAATGAATGGCTAAGAACTGCTTTACTGAATGACCCTGATGAGCAAACTGGATGAACAAAGCATAGAAGCAAACTTCACATGATCCACTATAATTTACATTATAGTTTAAACATGCCTTCAAGTAAGTTTAAACATGCCTTCAAGTAATTTTTTAAAAAGGGATTCTTATTAAAAGCAATTAGGAAAGAAGCCAACTCACCTTTTTGCACTCATCTGTTCTTTTAGCTTAGTGTACATTTCCAGCACTGCAGTTAAAAATATAACTCATTTTAGCTTTCAAATTAAAAATAATTTTTGAGAGATGAAAATAATAAAGGAAGGCATCAGCATATTATAAATTCATTAATTTTTTCTATAGTTTGATTTAGGCTTACATTTTCAAATAAAATTTTATACTTAGAGTAAATAAAAACATTTTAATTTCTACATATGTTAAACATTATATGTATTATTACATTTTATTAAACTTGGAACACTTGCATATGCTGACACCTATAATTGAGACATTAACCTACTAACAAATACTCTATTCAGAAACTTACTAATATAATATCTCTTCCCTGCAGGGGAACAGAAAGTTTGGACTTTAGTTATTCAGAGAAAGCTGAATGACAGTGAGATTGATTTTCATTCAATATACCAATAAGATAGCACAACTGTGTTATACCTCATTAAACAAAATTTTACAAAAATATCCAAAAGAAAGAGACACCTCAAAAGCTTATAGCAGACAATGAATTATGACAAAGGCATAAATAAACATAAAGCATCTTCCTTTGTTTTATCATTTCTATCAAAGGTTCAGAAATGCAGTTATTCAATAAAGCTGTTATAAGCTTCAGCAAGATGACATACCATTCATCCTTAATAGAATTTCCAAGTATAAAGTGAGTGAATATATTATTATTAGCTCATCAAGCCACCTCCAAATTTCCTAGACCAAAGAGATAGACATTTTTTTTCCAGATTTTTCTATAGTTTTATGGCTACCCTCAGGGATCTTCAAGTTTATAAAAGATTTTGTTTACCTCTCTGAAACCCGTAAAAACTGCAAAGGTGGCTATAGTGAACCTGTCCTAATTCTACAGACTCTATGTATATTACAATCATAGCCCCTATACATAATGCAATATTTTTTACATTTCAAACCAAAACATATACCTGGGAAAGAGCCTAAAACTGCTGCTACAAGTATAAACTTGCTTTGAAATCTGTTTTATCTCAACAATTTAGGTAAATTTCATATCTATCTTCTAATATTTCTATATTCTTTTCATATAAAATAATACTTTCCTCAAATATAATCAAGTAAAACTAGTGCACCAGAAAAATGCATTGTTTAACCTGTGACTTCTTATATCCTCTCATACTTCTAATCTAAGGAGGAGGTAAGCAATTGTACAGTAATTGATGGCTTGTCTTTATTCAGATAAATTATCACATCCTTTAGAGCTGAGACTATGTCACTTTCAACTTTATATTTCCAATATCTACCATAATTCCTGACACAAAAAGTATTTGTAAGAAGATAATTAGATAGAAGGATATATGGGGGAAAGGAGGTAGTTCTAGACATGGCTATTAGGAATGCAATGTTTATACAACTCAGATTATACAACTCAGGAAAAGCACTGAAAGCAAAGACAGTAGCAGTAACAAAATTTTAACTCCCACTTCCCTTTACTTCTCTATTTCAAATAGCCCACTAGGTGAATAAACGGAATTCAGTTCTTTTCCATTCCATCAGTACAAATTTTTTAGGCTTATTACAATTCAGAGACAAAGCATTCAAACTTAGAGACTGTCTTCATGGCCATTTCAGTGTATCTGATGGTGACAAAAAGGTATTACTAAACATTACTATAAAGGAAATAGGTTTATTAACCCTGAAACCTCACATAATGAGCAGACATTATATTTACTCAAAGTTAATGTGCACATAGCCCTGGTCCATCAGAGATTAAACTAATTAGAATTTCAGTGATTCTATTTTTTAAAAAGCTATTCTCACAAGTCAGAAAACAATAATTATTTAGCTAATAAGATCTGCTGACAGTTTTAACATATAATTTGTATTCTAAGCTAACTTCATATTATGTATAGGGTGAAGCAAGAGTCGGTTTACAGTTGTTTATATGAAAAAATCATACAATCTTATATAATAAAAGCCTAATATGCTAAGTGTCTGGTCAACCAGTCGGCCGTTCAACCAAAGTATAATATGCTAATGATATGCTAAGGCCGCTCAACTGCTCACTATGATGTGCACTGACAACCAGGGGGCAGATGCTCCGACTGGTAGGTTAGCTTGCTGCTGGGGTCTGGCGGATCAGGATTGAGCAAGATGGGCCGGACACACCCTGGAGTCCTCCTGTGGTCCCTCTCCAGCTGGCCAACCTCCCGCGTCCCTTTGCACTGGTGGGGTCCTTCAGCCTGGCCTGTGCCCTCTTGCAATCCGGGACCCCTCGGGGGATGTCAGAGAGCTGGTTTCGGCCCGATCCCGCAGGCCAGGCCGAGGGACCACACTGGTGCACGAATTAGTGCACCAGGCCTCTAGTAATTAATAAATAAGAATAAATTCAGTGTTTTGCATACTCACTACTATAAACCTATTTTTGACCCACCCTGTATAATTATTATATACAAAGCATCTCATTCTATTTCCCAGGATATGAAGGTTCCAGTTCCTTCCTGAAAAAAAAAAAAATGCAACACTGCGTTGGATTTAATTTACTATATTAAGAAAAAGATGACATACACCTGCTTCCTTTTGTTTAAACAGGATACATCCAGGTAAAGAAAATACTGGTTAGTTTCTTTGAAATTTATTGATGTCCTGGTAATATCTGAGCCCTTACAGACAGTCAGAACCTCAGAAACCTAAAAAGTCAGTCTTTCCAAAATATAGGTGGAAAGGCAAGAATGAAGAAGGGACAAGACCTAGCATTTTGGGATGTTTTCTTACCTGATCAGCAAAATGAGACTGTGAGCAAAGCAAAACCAAGCTACTTAAGTATCAAATGGAAAACTATAGGTAAAATGATAGGCAAATTAGGACAAGGCAAGAAAATGTAATCTAAAGACACTCCCCATGGGAAAGTATTCTGAAGAATCACAAAGTTGAGGAGGGCGCAAGTGAGGCAGAAAGGAAACGGTAAGATTATAGGAGACTGACGTGACAGATCACCAAACGGGGATTTACATTATAGGAAAACTCAGGGAACAAAGTGGATAAGAAAGATAACCCTAGGCTTTTGGAGGGAACAATCACCAAATACCTGTAATTCCCATAATGAATAATGACTAAATGTTATCATTAAATTATAATTTTACCAAGCCAACATTACATTATAGACAAATTTAACTCACCTGGAAGGCACAACTGCAATTTTTCTACTACAGTTGTAATATTCCTCTGCTGAATTCTACATCGAATAATATCTTCTGTTTGGACTACCACCTTAGGAAAAAAATGTTCATATGTTTAAACGAACAGTTAAATCATATACACATATTGATACACAACAGATGTATCATTTTCTCACCTCCTTTCCAGCATCTTGAAATCTTCGGTTGGTATCAGTAACTTGGACCTTAAAAATAATTTCACCTTAGTTAGACCAATATGAATAAAACTGCCCTGATGTAACCGCTCACCCTTGTAATCAGATCATGCTTCATGAGAAACTTAGAACAAAGAAATGCAAATTCAAATTAACTCTACAGCTTGAACTTGAACTTTTGATTGAAAAGGGCTTTTAACTTCAATTACTTATGACAGTTCTTTTTAACAGATTCTGTGGCAAACTTCTCAAATTTACTCAAGATTTTTGAACTTTACTTGCTTCTCTAAGTCTGTCAAACAATTCAAATCACTGACCCAATTGACCACTGGTCCTTTTTTGATAACTTCAATGAGGTCTATGTGCCATTCACTGTCTGTAGGAAATGGTGATTGCATTTTACGGTAATTAAACATTCATACTTTGCTGAATGCAAACACTGGGTGGTTGATTAACATCAAACACAGAAATCTCAATCCACAGCAACATTTTAATGCTGCAGGTGCAGGCAAAGCTCAACCTCAAATTTTCCCACATATTAAGTGACTCATTAGGTCATCATAGTAAGGAAGCACATTCTGGTTTATTAAAAATCTCATTAATTTTTTAACAATGATGCTCAGTGACCTCATTGATGCTGTATTTGGTCATTCGTTGTCTGAACATCCTTTATATAATGGTTTTCTAATCATAACCTTTGGTAAACCAGGGTCATTCTGTCTGCTAAGCTCTCCAAATGTAAAGAAAGATAAGTAGGACAATTCTTATAACTATATATTTTGTATTCTGACTGAACAAATCCAGGTCTCATTTAATAAATAATGTTTTTTCTGTGTGGCCAAAAATGTAGACCAATTTTCTTTAAGAAAATTATACATTGCTATTAAACTAAAAAAAAGTTTCAACATTATTAAATAACTTTGAGAATATAATTACACATGGTAGTTTTTAAAGGTTTTTATATTTGTACTAATTGTCATTGCTAAAACTGCCAATGGGGCCATTCATTGTATGAAGTTTTTTAGTTTATTTCCCTGCATGGAAATAAATCCTGTTAAGTCAATGCATTACTTACTTTACCAAAAAAGGGATTACTACTGTCATTAGCATGACAACTGTGTTAACAAAGCATGAAGAGCATTCCCAATTATATACACTGATGCACTTCTTGAAAGTAGTACATTTAATAAAGGTTTGTACCATGCACTATAAACTAATACTTGAGTAATTTTTTAAAATATATTTTTATTGATTTCAGAGAGGAAGGGAGAGGGAGACAGAGACAGAAACATCAATGATGAGAGACAATTACCAACTGGCTGCCTCCCACACACCCCCCACTGGGAATCGAGCAGGCAACCAGGGCATGTGCCCTGACCAGGAATCAAACATTGACTATCTGGTTCACAGATCAATGCTCAACCACTGTGTCACGCTGGCTAGGCAACACCTGAGTAATTTAATGACAGCAAAGATAAACTGAATTTTAACATATTTCTTACCTTCAGTTTTTCTGCATCAGTCCTTACTTTAAGGAGTTCTGTAATAGCATCTACAAAACCCTGATGATGAAAATTACACATCTTTTCAATTTCCTTGTCATGATTACGGATACAATTATCTAACTTTTCCATAAACTTTTTGTGTGCATTTGGTTGGTCATCATACACAGACCTGTATGTATATAAAAAGAAAGCTAACATTAATTTCCCAATTCACCAAAATGTATTCTTTGAAACAGCTGATATCTTAACACTTATCTAAATCTTTTAACAGATAAACTAGGGTGATAGTACTGCCAGTAGTAGAAATAATTTGAGTGAAAAATATTTAATTTCTTTTTGAACATGTTAATAGTAAAAGAGCCACAGCCCTCTAGATATATCACTAGGCATCTGGAAATAAAGATATGAAGCTCAGGAGGAGTCTTTACATACAAATGTTCAAGAAAGAGTGAACGATTAAGGAATGAATGAACAAACTCCTTATTTCTACAGCATTTACTATGTGTCATGATATATTCTAAATGCTTTATATGATAACCTTCTAATCCTCACAACAAGCTTATAATGTAGGTATTATTACCCTTGCTGTGTATATATAAGTGACAGATTATATAACTGCCACATATTCTACAACTAGCAAGTCACAGCTGGGATATGAATCCTGGTGATCTGGCTCCAAGAGTTCATATTCTCAAGTACAAGGCCATATTGCAGTCACCACAATGTTCTCTAAATACGACATACACATTCCTACTGTATCTAAGCTCATGCTGTATCCACATAGAGGGCAGCCTGCCCTCACCCCGCCATACAAGAAAGGATTAACCTTGTCCAAAGAAAGGTTTGGCCCTTGCCCCCAGATCCTGGGAGGTAAGCCTTTGGAATGTCCTGCCTGATAGATGCCTTTTTTTCCTTGGGGGCCTTAAGCAATGCCAAACAGTCTATGTTAACAATATGATTTACAGTGAGTGAGGACCATGGCATCTGCTCTGGAGGGCTGGAGACTAAGGTCTGCAACACAGGCAGTGAGCCATGCCTATGTGACCAATCCCAGTAAAAATCCTGGATACCATGGCTGGGGTAAGCTTCCTTGGTTGGCAACACTCCATAAGTGCTGACACACATCATTACTGGGAGATGCAAATGCTGTCCAGACTACTCCACTGGAACAAACAACTGGAAGCTCCTGCCTGGAACTCTCCTAGACCCTGCCTTATAAGGCTGTTCTTGTGGTGAATTTTAGTCTGTATCCTTTTGCTGTTAACAAAGAGTAACTGTGAGTATAGGAGCTTTGCTAAATTCTGTGAGTCCTCCTAGTGAATTACTGAACCCAAGGGTAGTCTTGGCACCTTCCCCAAAATGCACCCCCCCCCCAATCTGTTGACCATAGTTTGAGGTTTAGTTCAAGTCCCATTTCCTCCAATAGGCCTTTGTCAATCATTTCAATGCCAAGTAATCTTTTCACGGGCAGGACAGCTAAACATATAGTCCTTTCCATTCATTCTGACATGTAATCATATATGACTTTGCATTGTAATTTAAATGTTTCAATTATATGTCATATATTTTGTTTCTCCACATAGAACATAAGCTTCTTGAGGGCAGCCTCCATGGCTTAGGTTTTTAATACATACCTATAATAGTACTAGAGAGGACAATAGAGGATAGCAGTTGTAAGTACTTGGGCTGTTAAAGAGCTAAGCTAGAACTAGGCTCTGATCTTGGGCATCTCTTTTCTACCTATACTACTTTCTCTAGTCTAGACTTGGAGCTTTAAATTTCATAAACACAGTGACACCTTCCAGGTGTACATTTCCAGCCCTGACCTCTCTTCTGAAATTCATTTCTCTCCAAGTGGATATCTGATAAGCATCTCAAATATGTATAAAATAAATTACTTTCCTATTCTCTGAAACTTGCTCCTCTCACAGTTTTCTCCCATCTCAGTAATTGCTCTAGCTCTTCTAGTTGATCAGGCAAAAAACTTTGAAATCATCACTGATTGTCCTCTTTCTCTTACCCCCACCAAAACAATCCAGCAAATCAACCTTTATTACCTCCACTGGTACCTCCCTGGGACCAAGCCGTCAACATACCTTGTCTTCAGTTTGTTCTCAACACAATAGACAGAATGATCCCATTAAAACCTAATTCGGATCCCATGTCTCTCTTCTGCTCAAAACCCCATTTTTCTTACAACAGTCCATAAAGCTCTACATAATTTTTCCCCATGTTATCTCATTGACCTCATTTCCAACTACTTATTCTTCACTTTACTTATTTCATGTTAGCAACACTGGCCTCCTTGTGGTTCCTGAAACACACCAGGCACATTCCTGTCCTATGCTTTGCCCATAGTTTCCTCTACCTGGATCACATTTCTCATGTGTGGCAGCCTCCCTCTCCTCCTTCAGTCTGTTACCCCCTTCTTTTTAAAAAATATATTTTTTTATTGATTTCAGAGACAAAGGGAGAGGGAGAGAGAGATAGAAACATCAATGAGAGAGAATCACTGATTGGCTGCCCCCTCACACTCCCTACCGGGGATCAAGCCCACAACCCAGGCATGTGCCCTGACCGGGAATCAAACTATATCCTCCTGGTTCATAGGTCAACTCTCAATTACTAAGCCACCGTGGCCAGGCTGTTACCCTCTTCTTGAGAAGGCCCTTTCTGGCTACAATATCTACATTACACACACACACACACACACACACACACACACACACACACACACACACTTCCCTGCTTTATTTTCTCTCTCTTTTTATTTTCTAAAATAAAGGAGTTACTTTGTCACTGCAACATTCTTACTACTGGAGAAATACTCTCTACTTCGCACTTCATTTTCTGTCTTCCCCTACTAGAATGTAAGTTGCATGAGTGCACAGAATGTTTGTGTTTTTTTCTCTGTTGTATATCCAGCCCTAGAATACTGCCTATTATATGAGATGCCCAATAAAAAATAATAATTCATGAAAGATGGGTTCATGGATGGATGGATGATAGATAGAATCAGAAAGAATACTTACTAGTTGTTCAACCTCAGGTAAGCTACCTGACTTCTCTAAATCTTAATTCTTTCAACAATAAAATAGCGATAAAAAAATTCTGTTATGAGGATTATTATCAGACTACTACATGGATTACAGTAAACACATGAAAAATTCTTAGCACAATAACTGACACACTGTATGTAAGTGCTCATATATATTGGCTACTAGCACAGTATGCACTTAAGAGACAGCCAAATCCTTGTAAAATGAGTGAACCCTGCTGAATAATTGAGTACTAGCTGCAAGTATCAAATATGACTAACACTCAATTATCCATTGTTAAATGAGCTGACTACCACTATCACCTGACATTTGTATGGGGCCCTTAGCATTTTTAACATCTAATACTTCATTTCTTTCTTATACCACACCAGAGAAAGTATCACTGCCTCCTTTTCACAAATGAAGAAACAAGCATAGGAATGGTAAATGACTAATGTAACCTAGTGAGTGACCAAGGCAGGACTAGAATTCCCACCTTGCACTTTTCCTACCATTAGTACATATAAAAAGAACTCTTAATTAAACAAACAATGTTGTTCCAAAGAAAAATCCATGTGCAAGAGGAAGTTTATCTAACTGACCTTGGCATCCCACAAACAAATTTTTATTTCATAATTGTGAGCAAGTATAATAGTCTTTAAGTAATAAATATATGCATTTCTGAGATTTTAAAAACATTTAATCTAATAAAAGAGAAACATGCAAATTGACCGTACCTCCACCACACCCACCAGCCCACCCACCAGACAATCAGGAGCAAATTAACCCAACTAAGATGGCGGCAGCCATGGAGCTGAAGCAAGCAGGAAGCTTGGGTTGTCCCGGGCAATGGAGGAAGCCAAGCTTCCCGCCTGCCCTGCTGGCCCTGAGCTCTGCTCAAGGCTACAAAGTTTCAATTATAGAAAATAAATAAATCCCAGATATACCTGCTTCCAGCCCACAGCCATGGCCACCCTGAAGGGACTGTGGGCAGCCTGAAAATGGCCCTCAGCCCCTCACCCAGGCTGGCCAAACCCCCATGGGGTGAGGGTCCCCGCTGGGGGGCTTGGCCAGCCTGCAAACAGCCATCAGCCCCTCACCCAGGCTGGTCAGGCACCCCAGTGGAGACCCCCACCCTGAAGGGGTGTGGCCAGCCTGAAAAGAGCGCTCAGCCCCTCATCCAGGCTGGCCAGGCACCCCAGCGGGACCCCCACCCTGATCCAGGCCACCCTTCAGGACAAACCAGCCGGCCCCCACCCATGCACCAGGCCTCTATCCTATATAATAAAAGGGTAATATGCAAATTGACCCTAACAGCAGAACCACTGGGAATGACTGGTCACTATGACACACACTGACCACCAGGGGGCAGATGCTCAATGCAGGAGCTGCCCCCTGGTGGTCAGTGCACTCCCACAGGGGGAGCTCTGCTCAGCCACAAGCCAGGCTGATGGCTGCCAGCACAGCGGTGATGGCAGGAGCCTCTCGCGCCTCCTCAGCAGGGCTAAGGATGTCTGACTGCAGCTTAGGCCTGCTCGCCGCTGGCAAGTGGACATCCCCCAAGGGCTCCCGGGCTGCTAGAGGGATGTCTAACTGTCAGCTTAGGCCTGATCCCCCGGGGAGCAGGCCTAAGCCAGCAGGTGGACAGCCCCAGACTGCGAGAGGGCACAGACCGGGCTGAGGGACCCCTCCAAGCGCACAACTTTTTGTGCACTAGGCCTCTAGTATTTAATAAAACAGTTTGGTAGTTATCTGACTCTTAAAATACCAGGCAGTAAACAAAACATACCAAAGAACTGGTTTTTCCCCTTACAACATTGCAGCGAAATCTAGCAAGAGATATTTCCGGACTGCCCTACTATAGTGTCCCTCCAAAGGAGGTTTCACTCTGTTCTTGAGTGCAAAGGCAATACTGTTATCTCTTTTCAATTTAATAGTAACATATAAATAGACAGGAAGATAAATACTTATTTCCCAAAAGTCTATTTTATTTTAGAAAGTTCTTTAAAAATCCATCCTTTCGTGTGTCTTTCCAATTTCTTCTCCAGAGTTTTAAAAAACAAAACTAGTATTGTTTTATAGTAATTCAGGACAATGCCAGTGGATCTATTACAGCATACAGATGAACTCC